CGAATAATGGTTTGATTTGAAAAATAAAATGATTTGATTTAGTTTGAAAAAATATAAAATTGTTTGAAATGATTTGAATTGAAATCATGACACAAATCATCCAAATCGAATCGCATTCACCCCAATGAAGACTTGGCTATGTATATTAGGGTATGTTTGAAAAGTGGAAAAGACAAACCAATTCTATATAAGTTGGAAAAGAAAAAATCACCAAAACTATAGGAATTTGATTTCCACTCAATTGGTCATAAACATGCTTTATGTGTTTATACATTGGAATTCGAACCCCATTTTCATTTTTATATCAAATAACAAAAGTAAAAAACGAATTCTATGAATGTGAGATTTTTCATGGAATTTAATGCTATCAAACGGACCCTTGGATGTGTTTGATTACATTTATTTTTTATGGAAAATATCAGTTTTCCACCCAAATTCCTACTTGAAGTGTTTGATTGCTATTTTTTTCCATGAAAAACATTTTCCAATTTTTGAAAATATACCTAATTTTCCTTGTTTTTGAGGAAAACATTTTTCTTGAATAGAGGTGGTTTTTATTTTCCACAAAAGATGGAAAACATTTTTTTTTCTAGGTGATATTTTTCATGTCAATCAAACACACTCTTAATCCTTCTAAGAAATATAAAGGAAAAATCTTATCATTATCTAAGGAAAATCATGTTTTAGGGGGATGTTGGCAGACAACTTATGATACCAAGGACAACTTTCCCTCAAATTAATCAACCATTAGTTAGTTAAAATAACATTTGTCCTTAAATTACGTTGAAGTGGAAAAATATTTTTAGTTACTGTTCGATGGGGATTAAAATCATAATTTTAGTAAATTTCGAGAAAAGTTGATAAAATGTGTTTTTGAAAATTGTAGATCGCATAAAATATGTGGTTAAAATCAACTGTTAACTTTAATTTAAATTAAAATCTGAATTATAATCCATAACAAAGAGGGATTTAGTGAGACAGTTACAAAGCACACATGAAAAAAGGGCTTACGTGCCCCGCAACGTTAAGAATTTTGGACAATATTTTTTTAATTCAAATTCTCACTTTCAAAATATCGGAATTAAATATTAATCTCAACTAAATAAGGGCTAAATAACAATTCTTTCAATCATGCTTAAAAAATATAAAGAAACTAAAATGACAAGAAAAAGATCACCCTCCAAAGGTGAGGATGTTAGAGCAACTTTAATGGTGGTGTAAAATTGAATGTAAATTGACATTTTCAAAGTCACTTTTAGAGTATATCCATTCGTTGTGTAAAATGGATCTAAATCTAGATATCCAAAGCAGTCAAAACCTCTCAAACGGAGAGATGCGAAGAAAATGCAAATCGCATTTTTTGACAAAATATGTAAAGCAAAAAGTGAATTTAAATCTTTCAATTGGAGCAAAATTATATTCAAGATTCTCATGGATGTATAGAGGGATTTGCAAAAGTACCCAATTTTACACCAAAAAGCATCCTCGTTTACATATCGATTGATCTAAATTCAAATTCTACTCCAATGAAAGATCTAAAAATTTTGTTGCAAGTGAGTTGGTAGCTTTTTATCTATTTTGAGTTACTTTTTTTTTTTTTTTTTTTAACTTTTCTTTCTAAAAGTGTGTCTTGCAGTTCCTTTGCATCTTTTCTTGAGAGAGATTTTCGATCACTTTGAAAATCTAAATCACAATTTAGATTTAATTTAGAGCATCATTGAAGATGGTCTTATTTTTTTAAGAAAAAACTTACTTTAGAAGTGTCATTCTCAATTCATATGTCGGTCAGAAATCCATATTATTTAAAGCACGATGATCTTATTTTAGATCTTGTAAAATAACCAATATTTGGGTGAAAGTTGTGTTTCCTTGCTTCGTCAAGTACTCAATAACAATCTATTGACGGTGAAATTTTGACCATAGACAAATTGATCCCACTATCTCTTTATTGAATTTAAACTACTTTTAGTGAAAGTGGAGAATGGGGAGAAAAAAATTGGCTAGTGATGACAATGAAATGCACCAAATTAAATTATTGAATCAAGGATGTTTTACTTGCACACGTAAACGCGACATTATCATGACATATAGCTAAAATCATATTAAAATTTGCTAAATAAAGCACCATGGTCAAAGTTGCTCTAATGCTTGAGTTAGATAAGATAACTATAGTAAATAGTGAAACTCAAGTTCCGTTTGTTTGACGTGATTTTTGTTTTTGCTATTTTTTTCTGTATAAGAGTTTTTGGATAAAGTTATTTTAATTTTTGTTTTGACACTATTTTTTTTGAAAAAAAGCTTCTTATTCGATAAATACCTTTAAAGAAAGTCATATTGGACAAATTTACTTTAAAAACTCTTCTAACTAGCAGAAGAACTTTTATAAAATAAGTTAAATGGGTCCAAAATCAACTTTTGAATCTCAAAGTTTTTTTTTATTTTTCAAAAATCATGTCAAATTGGCCACTAATACAAGTCTACATAGAAATGTTGAAATATTAAAAAATAAGTGAAATTGAGATCTCTCTACCACAATTAAAATATAGTTGAAATTAATAGACTGCTATGACATACCATCGAAAGGCTAAAACTTCAAGGACATGTTCTCCATCGCTTGAGAATAAATGATCGTGATCTATCGTGATCATGATAATTCTCTTTAAGCAGATCAACAAAGGCGAGATCAGCTCACTGGCTCACCGTTCCCTTTCATTTTTTAGTGGTTTCTTTGTTATCTTATTTATTTGGACTAGATGAAGAAAGATCTCTTCTATTTATCACTTTGACGTATTACATGTTGTCAGAAAGATTATTTTAATTAGAAAGATCCTGCCATTGATAATTCAAAATAAAAAAAAATACAAATAAAAGCGCATGCGCAGAGGGGCACGATACTCTTTCATTTAGAGGAGATTAGCCTCACTACTTACTTAAATAGGGTACTCATGAATTATTAATCTTCCATTAACCTCCTTTTCAGAAGAAATACAACTCGACATCAATTTCAAGAAGCTTTGTTACATTAGAAGTTTATTCTTTCACGTGTATGTAGTTTACACCTACAAGTAATTACCATTATTTATGGCATAGATAGGGGACCTTGGTCGGCCAATGCTCCCACCAGAAATTTTTGTGACATATGTCTCGTTTGGCCCTCATTTTTGTCAAATTTTAATTATTAGAATAGTATTTTTTGGAAAAATGTGTGGTTAAAAAAGAATGAAAAGCTTTTTATTTATGTGTAATATTATTTTATGGAAGATTATATGATTGAAAATACAAAAGAAAAAAAATGGTAAAGAGAATGAGAAATTCAATACGGTGCTTTCTGATGTGGACCACATTTCACATATAGACAGACAACTTACCCTATTGGTCAAACCACAAAAGTGATCACAAAAATTAGCCCTGCCAGAATGAGTGTTCTCAGACCAACTTGCATGCACATGAGCTCAATTCAAGTCCGTAGTGGGTCTAATCATGCCCGTCTAAAAATATAGCACGTGACTAGTTCTAGCTGTCATAGATTTTTCAAATCGACCCACTAATATTAGAATAATGTTACATGTATGGGAAAACTTTCACAGAATCTTTACAGGCTTTCACTTGACACAATTCTATCGACAGTTAGCACAAAAAAAAAAAACATGTGAATCCGGTGCTGCCAATGCGACACCTTTAAAGGTTCTGTGAGAAAAAACCCCGTACTTATAGTATTATGGATCCGGTTGATTGAACTTGTCATATTTTATTTTTGAAACAAATATATTTGTCATTATATTATTAAAATATTTGTGAAAAATAAATAAGCATTTTTCATATAGTCCATCTTCGTGGTTCGTTGAATTCGAAACCCTAAATCAACATGGCCCGTCATAATTGGTGGACCAACCCGAAATCGGCTTGAAGTAAGTTAAACTAATTTCCATCTATTTTTTTTAAGAATAACATAAACCGCCTTAAGCTTGAGCTGATGTTCATTTTGACATCACTTACAAAAAATCATGAAAAAAAAAAATGTAAATCTCTTTTGTTGAGCTTAGGTTCAAGGTACAAAAGTAAACTTCAAGCTAAAAGGTCGAAAAGTACAAATTGGATCCAATTATTGACATTAAACGTGGATAAGAACAAAGCAGAATATGATAATGAATTAAGTTATTTGTACAACGTTAGTTGACAAACATTGTTGACAATGTATTGACATTAAGCGTTGACAAGAACAAATCAAAATATGATAATGAATTAAGCTATTTGTACAATGTTATTTGACAATGTTGGAGGTGGCAAAATTCGGACCAATGATTTAAAAAACAATTTTTGACAATTTAAAAATGGATGAATGTGGTAATACCAACAAAAATTGTCATTCATTATTGTACAAATAAAATTGTACGAATAGCATGATTGTATGATAATAATGCAAGCAAAAGCAAGTTAATTTAGAATGTAAAAGCCAATGGATAATTCTAAGTGTAAATAATTTGGTTTACCTATTCTCACAAGCACGTGGACCCTGCGTGAATAAAATAATCCCCACATGTGGTCCCCACACTCCTATTGTGAGTGTATGTAAAGCATTAGGTAAAAAAAATTAGGTACATCTGACATAATCCAAAGCCAATTGATGTAGATTTTTAGTAAATAAAGTTAATAAAAATTGATGGCGTCATGAATATATAGTTAAAAATTAAGTTTTACATATTTTTTGACAAAAAATAACTTTACCAAACAAGCAATTTTTTATTCATGTGGATCCTCTATGTGAAAGGGGAATACCCTTATGTAACTCATATTATGTATCACTAGATAAATCCTTCAATGATTGACGTTGACACATAAATTTGATATTGTACAAAATTTTTAAACATATGTCATATAACTCGAAATTAAGAAGGCCTCAATAATGGATCCCGCCCGCCCCGGTCAAAAGTGGATCCAGATTCTTCAAATTCACAAAAAATGACAAAGTGATTTGCAGATGGTCATCGTCAACAAACTCTTGACCAATCAATTTTGCAAAAATAGGCACTTGGCCTGTCTATAGGTAATAGACAAAAATCCCTATAAATTACCGGTGCAGTGGTGCCCAAATGCAACCACTCATTCTGACATGCAAATATTGACTTGGAAGAACAACTTTCCTTGGACCATTTCGGTGAAAGTCCTTACTACACTGACAAAACCAGTAGCAAAAATGGCTCCCATCGCTCTCCTCCCCTTCCTCATCCTTAACTTGGCCGTTGCCACCGCAGCGCCACCACTGCGGCCTCGATTTTATGAGAAAACTTGCCCGGAAGCTGAACATCTGGTCAGGGATGTGATCAAGAAGAACATGGAAAGGGAACCAAGAAGTGCTGCATCAGTGAATCGCTTGCAATTCCACGATTGCTTTGTTAATGTAAAAAACAAAACCAAATGAAAATCTTAAGTTTCTTTAGTTCAATCAAGATTTTATTGAGATTTTCTTGGATTTTGTAGGGATGTGATGGTTCATTGTTGCTGGATGATACGTCAAACATGCTCGGGGAGAAATTATCTTTGTCGAATATAAATTCATTAAGATCATATGAAGTTATTGATGAAGCCAAGGAAACCTTGGAGGGGGTCTGCCCAGGTGTCGTCTCTTGTGCCGATATCCTAATCATGGCTGCAAGAGATGCAGTGGTTCTAGTAAGCACTTTCACCTTCATCCTCTGTGTGTGGTTTTGTTTTGAATGTATAAAATTGGCCTAAAAGGGGCAACAGGAAGAAAGGGAGGGAATTTGATCCGCAGAAATCCGATTAGCTAAGGGACATGCTTGGTAAGCAATATTAAATAATTAAATTATCATGCTTCAGTTGACTAGATTCCTTGTCTTAAATCCTAGGATCGCATTGCAAAGTGAAGATAACATGTGTTTGAGCCTCTTTAATTTTGGGAAATGTATTATGGAATATTAAATTGATAGAAAATTTGTGGTTAAAAAAGAAGGAAAGATTTTTTATTTGCGTGTAATATTATTTTAATAAAGAATTTGTAGTTGAAAATAAATACTGCAGAAAAAATAATATGGTAGAATATAAATTAATACTATTCATAACGAGGAATATCTGTAGTCGCCTTACGTGATATACATATGATAGTTTGTTATTTGATATATCAAATAATAACAAATTGTCACATTAATTTATCAAATGACAACTATCAAATGTATGTCATATAGGACGACTATCGATAGTCCTTCCTATGAATAACATTATTCTAAAATCAAAGTTAATCAGAGAACAAAGTGGCAAAAAGTTTTAAATACATTATCTTGTTATAAGGTGATAAGTATCATTGTATCTTAATAATAATCTCTTTTTTCTTTATCTTATGTGTTTGCTTGGTAGGGATTTTGATAATTGATATTTTGACCATTACAGATAAAGTCGGTCCTACCTGTGAGAGAAAAATTCAAAAATGACGACTGAAATAGTGAAATAACGGTCAAAAAATTGATCTTAAGTGGCTTAAAATCTCTACCAAATAAGCACTATATTTTGGGCCGGCTTGACACTGTTTCTACTTTTGCTTTAGCTTTCTATAAAAGTTTTTATAACCAGACAAATTATTATTCACATTATTCAAAATAGGTTTTAAAAAGAGCTGCCTAATTTTGAAAACAATTTTTCACTTTTCAAAAATCTTGTTAAAGGGCTCTTTATTTTCATAGATGGTGAACAAAAAGCCCAAGAAGTTAACAAAAGATGGGTGAAGAACACGGTAGCACTAGAAGTAATTATTAAGAAAGGCCAACTTTTGAATAAATGAAAAGATGACTGGGAAATTGTAAGTTAATTTCTTTTACTTTAAACAAGAATTATATTGTTCATTTTTTTGTCTTGAACCAGAGTGGAGGACCTGACTGGGAAGTGAAATTAGGAAGGCAAGATAGCTTGACAGCAAGCCAAAAAGATGCAGATGACATAATGCCAAGTCCAAGAGCCAATGCAAGTTATCTCATTGATCTCTTCAGAAAATTCAATCTCTCTGCCAAAGATTTAGTAGCCCTTTCTGGCTCCCACTCCATTGGCAAAGGAAGGTGCTTTTCTATTGTTTTTCGACTCTATAATCAATCCGGCACGGGCAGACCGGACCCTGCAATTGATCCGATTTTCAGAGAGAATTTAGATAAGCTTTGTCCACGGGGAGGAGACGGAAATGTAACAGGGGGCTTGGATGCAACTCCAGAGAGATTTGATAATCAGTACTTTAAGGACTTGATGAATGGAAGAGGATTTCTCAATTCTGATCAAACTCTGTTTACATATCCGAAGACTAGGCAATATGTGAGGCTATTTGCAAGGAATCGGGATGAATTTCTCAAGGCCTTTGTCGAGGGGATGATTAAATTAGGTGATTTACAATCAGGTCGCCCTGGGGAAATTAGACAGAATTGTAGAGTAGTTAATAGCAGGCCAGTCGATGAATTAATGTAGACTTGAAGACAAAAGAAGTTAGTTACTGCTATCAAGAGTCATATAGAGTTGTTTTCAATAATATGTAAGAGGTGAAAATGTTGTCCACATCAATCTGTAGACAATGCTGCTGTTAATATTAATTTGATTGTTATTATCTATTAGTCAGAACTTGGTAGTTTTTGCTTAAATTTATGAAAGCCACAATGCTTCGATGGTTAACAGTTAATTCTTGCACAAACAAAGGGTCAGTTCACCACTCCCGCATCCTATAAGGACTCAACATCCAGACAAGGATAGGCAACGAGCAGTCACAGTATCTGCTAACAGATTTGGTATACTGAACTAAACGAGATTCAAATATAACGATAACTTCCCCACTCCATAGAAGATTAATCAACCATATAACTTCACCTTCAGAAAATGACACTAGTACTGATTGATTAGTATGTTTGTCTTCCTTTGAGTCCATGGATGTTATCAAAATTCACAACACTTATAGCAAAGACTAACATGGAGTGAATCTATGATCCTTAGTAGAAAAAAAAATAAAAAATTGAACTCAAAAGGGTAACTAAGAACTTCATCTAAACCTTTAGAAGAGGAAATAGTCGCCAAGTAAGATGAGGAAATAATCTGAACCTTTAGCAGCGAGGTTAGGAAAGGTAACAAGAGATGTTCATGCGAAAAGCAAAAATTCCCAGCATTTGACACACTCTTCATTAATGTGGAAAATTATACTATTATTTCGGGAAACAACGCTGCCAGAATAATTTACTGGACAAATTAGTGCGAGTGAAAAGTCATCAACCCATGGCCTATTCGGTTGATTACACCAAACGAACCACACATCTCGCAAAAACATGGTGAAAAATAATTAGTTGCAGTTATTTGTAGAACCATAAAATGTAGAAAGTAAAACTTATAGATTGATTGAGTCTTATGACAGTATGATGTCCTAAAGTGAAATGACCCGCTGTTAACTATTGTGATCTTTCTGGACAATCACTCCTCTACATGTCCAAATCTGGGAGATTAGAGGTACTGTTTTGTCTTTTAACATTTTTAAACTTGACTGATCCTGCCTATTTGTGTTTTATGATGGTTTATGTACTGTCTACGGTTTCAAATTGAGAGATGGATTTTGGTTCATTTTCTAGAAGATGAAAGTGGGGTCATTCAGTCTTGTGCACAACCTTAAATAAATTGTCCCATTCATACATCTAAACATTTTTACGTTGTATAAGTTTCATGTCTAAAAAATGAAAGAAGGATAGTAAGAATGTAGATAGAGGTAGCTTAGGATAAAGGCATAAAGCTATTTTGATAGAAAATTTGACATAATTGCATGTGAAAGAAAGTGATTGGATGAAAAAGTTGACTATGTTTAAGATTGTTCAATGATAGAATATAGGGTTGCATTAATCAAACTTTATGTTCTTGTAGCATGATTGAATAGTTTATTGGTAGAGTTTGTAGCAGAAAACTTTCAATAGTCACGGCGTTGGTTTTAAGGGCATTGTGACAATAATATAAACATGGAATAGGATCCTCTATGTAAGGTATAAAAATGGAAATAACAAGTTCCACGTGCAAGTTGACTGTGATTAGTAAGTGAGAAAATTCAAATGTAGTGCTAAAATTGAAATCTATTGAAAAAGCTATAACTGCACAAGTAACTCGTACTAATAAGAATAACTAGGCTCACACTATAGTCCCACCATCCAGATGAAAAATACGTAATATTTAGGATGCACTGAACTACCGTGTCTAGTGGAAATTACACGGTACCCTATTTTCAAAATTTGCATTTTAAGAATTCTATTTCAAGTTTCATATTTCAAAAAAATTTATTGCTTATATGAGTTTTATCAATATTTCCATGTTAGGATTAGTTGCTATTTCCAATTCAGATTATAATTAAGATTTAATAATGTAGTAAATAAAAGTCATTCTCTCTCTCTCTCTCACACTCCCATTTTGATATCTTCTTCAGTGACTGACCACCCACTCCGACGAGCACTGTGATGATGAAGCCATGATAATGGAATGAGCGTCGCTACAGTAGTGACGAAGCCACTAGCCCAACGACGTAGATGCCCTTTGATTTTTTAGATTCAGCGACATTGACCTGAGCGTAGTAGTAGCTTCACCACACTTTCCTGTGAGGCGCTAATCTGTAGGTCGTTGTTCAGTGTTCGCCACACCGATTGCCATGGTTCTGGGGGGTGGTTGGGTGGCAATGGTGATGGTTTTGTTAGATTTGGTGGTGTCTATGATTTTTATGAGTGATAGTAGTGGTAGATCTTTGTTGTTGGGATGGGTTTTGTTGGATCTGACGATGGACCTAATGTTTGTAGATCTAGCACTGGTAATGATGATTTTGTAGTTGAAAATGGTGGGTGTTGATTTGTTTGATATGGTGATACCACCGCTAAAAGGTGATGATGGTTTTGGCGATGGTGCGATTAGAGACAGTGGTGAAGTTGTTTGTTTGATATTGTGAAATGGGCATTGCTAATGGTGGATCCAGAGCTGGTGGGATGGATTTGGCAGTGCATTTGACGATGGCGGTAGTGATGGTCATGGCAACGACGATGGTAGTTTATCGGTGGTTGTGATCAAGAAAAAATGTGTGATCTAAAAAAAAGTTTATTTGTGACTGTATAATAAATTGTGATTTAAAATATTTGTAATTTGTAATTGATAAATAAATTGTGAGTTATAAATTTTAATTTGTAATCGATAAACAAATTGTGACCTATAAAATTTTTGAATTGTGGTCGTAAAATAATTTATAACATATAAAAATTTTAGTTTTAATTGAAAAATAATATGTCACTTACTAAATTGTTAATTTTTGATCAATTTATAGAGATCTTTGACCTTAATATATTTAATTAGTAAAATATATGATTAATTAATTAAATTAAAATAAATTTTAAGAAACATTTGATTTTTTAAAATTTGAATTCTTTATTGTTTAATTTTGAAATGAATTATACTTATCCTTTTAGTTATGATTTTTTACTCGGGTCTATTGGTGGCTTTTTTTCATTTTTTTTTTCATGAAATAAAGGTTTTGTTTGAGCCTCATTATTTTCTCATTAAAATAAAAAATATGATCGTTATTCATCATATTAAATTATTATATATAATTTTTTATATTTTGTGTGGAATTTATGAAAGCTATAATTTTTCATTCTCAATTTTTGCTGTGACGTGGCTGAAACGGGGCTAAAACACGAATTACAAACTACCACTGAACCAATAGAATAGAATCCACTACAAATCCAAAACCGCTCTCATATTTTCTCCTCTCTCATTCCCTCTAAAAAAAAAGTCATTTTTTCTCTCTCAAAAGTCCCTCGCACAATGGCGTCCCCTCGCGAGGAGAGCGTGTACATGGCAAAGTTGGCAGAGCAGGCCGAGCGTTATGAAGAGATGGTGGAATTCATGGAGAAGGTGGTGGCGTCCGCGGACGGAGGCGAGGAGTTGACGGTGGAGGAGCGCAACCTCCTTTCAGTAGCATACAAGAATGTGATTGGCGCCCGCCGCGCCTCCTGGCGTATCATCTCCTCAATCGAGCAGAAGGAGGAGAGCCGCGGTAACGAGAGTCACGTGTCCGCGATAAAGGGATATAGATCTAAGATCGAATCTGAGCTCTCGTCCATCTGCGAAGGGATTTTGAAACTCCTCGACACAAAGCTCATAGGATCCGCGTCCAGCGGAGACTCTAAGGTGTTTTACCTGAAGATGAAGGGAGATTATCATCGCTACTTGGCGGAGTTTAAGACTGGAGCCGAGCGGAAAGAAGCCGCTGAGAACACTCTCTCGGCTTACAAGTCGGCTCAGGTTAGGGTTTCTGTTTCTTTCGACGGTGATGCATTATTATATCATTTCTATATTTTGTGATCTATGGGCAATCGTTGGGAAACTTATTACATGGAGCGGCGGAATTTAGGTTTTATTGTGCGTTTTGTTTGATGATCTGGATATGATTGTAAATATTGACCGCTATAGTCAGTGATTTATGATTTTTTTTCTTTTTTTTTTTCTTTTTCTTTTTTCTTTTTGGCTCATTAAAACAGGAACCACGCATACTTCCTCTCCGTTTTATTTTGGTCTATTAGTAGATGAAGTGGTGGAATTGTTCTATCTGGTTAATACTGGGCGATCTGAAGGCGATCAATTTGACGATTGTTGCAAATATGTTTATCGTACAAATTAATGGGGATAAGATTTTTGGGTTTGTGCTATTGCTTATTTGTAACTTGGTAAATATATTTATATATGCATTAGTATGTTTTGCAGCAAATGCGAATCAGCAGAGGATTTTCCTTTTTTAATTTTAATATATATTTTTTTTTATGATCTAATCATTCTTTTAAATCAGTCATAATCGTACTGTGAACCAAATAACTTGATGCTTATGATTCAGATCATAAAATTTTACGCGTTGAATTGTATATTTGTCACTGAGTGCAATTTTGGATTTTGAATTTGTAGGAGATTGCAAATACAGAACTTGCCCCAACACATCCAATCAGGCTTGGACTTGCTCTCAACTTCTCAGTATTCTACTACGAGATACTGAATTCTCCTGATAGGGCTTGTAATCTTGCTAAACAGGTCTGCTAAAAAATTAAACTTGTCGTCTCCAATCTCGTATTTTTTTCCCACCCCATTAAAAAAAAGTATTTGAGTACCTTGTTCTGAATCATTTGTGGTAACATAAACAAGATCTGAGAGAATATGGCTTCTGACTGGCTTGAGTTTGTAATTCAGATGGCCTATTTCAGTTGATAGGAATGTTATAAGTATGCACTAATATTTGCTCATCATATTCTGTCAAGGCTTTTGATGAGGCAATTGCGGAGTTGGACACCCTTGGAGAAGAGTCATACAAGGATAGCACTCTGATTATGCAGCTTCTACGTGACAACCTTACTTTGTGGACTTCAGACATGCAGGTAACATTTTTCTATCTCTATTTTGTGGAGAGGTTTCCCCAACTACTGCTGTTGTTTAAAGGAATTACTTGATGATAATGATTATTGTTCTTGTGTATAGGATGATGGTTCTGAGGAGATCAAGGAAGCACCAAAGCAAGATTAATAGTAAAATTTTATGATTTACGATTTGAGTGTTTTGCTATGTGGTCTGTTTTTTTCAAATTGAAAATGCTACTTGTAGCCAGTAATCTCTATAATCTACTTATTTGCCTATCTGAAATTTTAGAAGTTTCTTATCTCTATCACTTGTTATTTACCTTATTTATTTTATTCTCAAAAGATAACTGTTAATCTTTGTGCCAACCATTGTTTGTTCATAATTCATATTTCTTCTCTGGGGAAACAGCCTCTTTATAATTTTGCTTAGATCTCCTTCTACATAGTATTAATTCATACAACCTTAATGTAAAATTCTTCACTAATATGCTTAATTCTGAGATCATCACTAATCTTTATCATACTTTGTGATTCACTTTTATGAGCTAATTTAGGGTCCGTTTGGCATGATTTTTAAAAAATCAAAAGGAGCTTTTGAGTCCAAAAGCTTGTTTGACTAATTTTATAAAAATATTTTTTATTTTTTAGTTACGAGAGTTCTAGAGAAAATTGGTCAAATGCGGTTAACTATAAAAGTTTTTCTACTAGAAGCAAAAATTATATTAAATGGATCCTTAGTTATTGGTATTGGTTTAGCAAATTATCCTTATCTACGTTCTAGAAGGCCAGAATATGATAGAGGAGTAGAAAATAAGTTGATGTGTCCCATTGTACAATTAGCATCAATTTGGACGTGCGACACTAAGGCCACTTGTTCGGCTAAGCTTAAAAGTTAGTTTTCCTCCGTTTTTTAATTGTTATGTCAACACTGTACTTTTTAAATTGTGCAAACTGTAATGGAAGTCAGTAAAAGGCTAATTGTTGTACTTATAAACTTTTTTTGGCTTCATTTTCATCTTCAATCTTTTATTAGTAAAAGTACGTTTTGTCTCTCATGGTGAATTCCATCCAAATGATACGTTAGGACGTTGCTCCTTATATTTTTAAATAAGCAAAATTAATAATAAAAACAAATGTTCGTAAAAAAAATTTGTACCCTCATTTTAAAGTACGATAAAATAATAATTGGACAAAAATGGTCATCAATAGCACTATTTGCTATTAATTATAATATAAATATAATAATGAGACGAAAAAAGTTGGTGTAATCGTGTGGTAATGAGAGAAGGTTGAGCTTTTTATTGCAATTGAAATGTGGTTTACATAAAACAAAAAGTGTAATTTGAATGTGATTATCCTTTTTTATTTTAGGAAGTAAATTTTGTTAGTGAAAAAATTAAGTTTTAAAATCATTTATGGCGGAGAAAAACATAAAAGTAACTTTTATAAATTTTTAATGGGTGCCACACCAATAATTTAATTCATTTGATCTGTAAATTTATAAATAAAAGTAACTTTCATAAAAGATTATCATTGATTGGTACGGATGGAGATCATATCTATTAATTTATAAATAAACATAAGCGAGTTATAAATAAATGAATAATATTTGTGAATATATAAAAAGGTGTAACTATAGAGCAATTTTACTTGGTGGTGGGCCACACCTTTTTTGACCACCGTTTGAAATTTGGGTGGAAAGTGGGACAGGGTGTGCTTTAGAGTCGTTGATGATGAATAAAAGTTGGCACCTTTGTGCCTTTCTTGAAGCTTTACAGTTGTATATGTTTTTTCTGTATTGACTATTGAGTACTTAAAGCTTATCAAATAACTGCTCCATTCCTGACTTGATAGATTGTTCATTGCTACCAAGGCTGTCGATATCTCATTTGTACTTGAGTTGATCGGGTCAAATCGACCCATACTTTTAACGATTATTCTTGGTTGACATGTAAAATATTCACAGAAGTCCTAAAGAAAGGACACAACAAGTGAGTAGATGGTTTTCTTTTGGTAATAAAATATTTACGAATAAAGCACTCTGCACAGATCCCTTTGTACAGAGCTTCTACAAGGACTCTCACATGGGGGTGGACTCCACATTCCACTTTATGTGTGTGTACCTATACAGACCTTGCGCAAAAGAGTCTGTGCAAGTAGCGCAACTGGATATTTACATAGGGTCCACCCTCCATGTTAGAGCCCTGTAAACATTCTATGACTTCTCCATGTGTACACATGGAATAATTTTAGTTTTAAAGTTGAAAGAGTTGGATTAAAGATCCCATGCCCATAACTTCGCTAAAACATATGATCACAAAATGGATAGAAATTTCTGGGTGACAAGCAGGCTTTTTACCATCCGAGAGTAAGGCGAAGTAATAAGAAAACAATTTAGAGGAATAAACGAATATCTGAATACGTACACTGACCATCATAGGTTATTTCAATGCCATAATTGGATCTCAATTTTAAACAAATTGTACCAAATATAACGCTTGTTTGGGTGCGCTTGTTTTCAGAAATTATTGATTTCTCACTGTTCATTGGGTTTAGGTGGAGACCTAAAAATCTTGCATGACCTTTCATAATTCAAGGTGTTTTTGCCTAAAAAATAAATGAAATATTGTCCTGTGAAGTTGATTCACGCAAGGTGACAATTGTTGTCGACTTCTGAGGTTTGGAATCAATTTGAAATCTGAAAATTGTAAGCTTGACAACTAAAACATGGAGATGTAGTGGTCTATTTAACTCCAACCGTCAAGTTACTGTGTATACATGAATTATTTGGTCTAGTTACGGTTGATTTAGAAAATTCCAATCACTGAATGAGTTATTGCTTTGTATTTATAGTGGAAATGAGTAGTAATTGCTTTGTTGGAACACACGGGTCGAGGGTCGTCCATGTGAGATAAGTAAATATTGACCGCTATAGTCAGTGATTTATGATTTTTTTTCTTTTTTTTTTTCTTTTTCTTTTTTCTTTTTGGCTCATTAAAACAGGAACCACGCATACTTCCTCTCCGTTTTATTTTGGTCTATTAGTAGATGAAGTGGTGGAATTGTTCTATCTGGTTAATACTGGGCGATCTGAAGGCGATCAATTTGACGATTGTTGCAAATATGTTTATCGTACAAATTAATGGGGATAAGATTTTTGGGTTTGTGCTATTGCTTATTTGTAACTTGGTAAATATATTTATATATGCATTAGTATGTTTTGCAGCAAATGCGAATCAGCAGAGGATTTTCCTTTTTTAATTTTAATATATATTTTTTTTTATGATCTAATCATTCTTTTAAATCAGTCATAATCGTACTGTGAACCAAATAACTTGATGCTTATGATTCAGATCATAAAATTTTACGCGTTGAATTGTATATTTGTCACTGAGTGCAATTTTGGATTTTGAATTTGTAGGAGATTGCAAATACAGAACTTGCCCCAACACATCCAATCAGGCTTGGACTTGCTCTCAACTTCTCAGTATTCTACTACGAGATACTGAATTCTCCTGATAGGGCTTGTAATCTTGCTAAACAGGTCTGCTAAAAAATTAAACTTGTCGTCTCCAATCTCGTATTTTTTTCCCACCCCATTAAAAAAAAGTATTTGAGTACCTTGTTCTGAATCATTTGTGGTAACATAAACAAGATCTGAGAGAATATGGCTTCTGACTGGCTTGAGTTTGTAATTCAGATGGCCTATTTCAGTTGATAGGAATGTTATAAGTATGCACTAATATTTGCTCATCATATTCTGTCAAGGCTTTTGATGAGGCAATTGCGGAGTTGGACACCCTTGGAGAAGAGTCATACAAGGATAGCACTCTGATTATGCAGCTTCTACGTGACAACCTTACTTTGTGGACTTCAGACATGCAGGTAACATTTTTCTATCTCTATTTTGTAGAGAGGTTTCCCCAACTACTGCTGTTGTTTAAAGGAATTACTTGATGATAATGATTATTGTTCTTGTGTATAGGATGATGGTTCTGAGGAGATCAAGGAAGCACCAAAGCAAGATTAATAGTAAAATTTTATGATTTACGATTTGAGTGTTTTGCTATGTGGTCTGTTTTTTTCAAATTGAAAATGCTACTTGTAGCCAGTAATCTCTATAATCTACTTATTTGCCTATCTGAAATTTTAGAAGTTTCTTATTTCTATCATTTGTTATTTACCTTATTTATTTTATTCTCAAAAGATAACTGTTAATCTTTGTGCCAACCATTGTTTGTTCATAATTCATATTTCTTCTCTGGGGAAACAGCCTCTTTATAATTTTGCTTAGATCTCCTTCTACATAGTATTAATTCATACAACCTTAATGTAAAATTCTTCACTAATATGCTTAATTCTGAGATCATCACTAATCTTTATCATACTTTGTGATTCACTTTTATGAGCTAATTTAGGGTCCGTTTGGCATGATTTTTAAAAAATCAAAAGGAGCTTTTGAGTCCAAAAGCTTGTTTGACTAATTTTATAAAAATATTTTTTATTTTTTAGTTACGACAGTTCTAGAGAAAATTGGTCAAATGCGGTTAACTATAAAAGTTTTTCTACTAGAAGCAAAAATTATATTAAATGGATCCTTAGTTATTGGTATTGGTTTAGCAAATTATCCTTATCTACGTTCTAGAAGGCCAGAATATGATAGAGGAGTAGAAAATAAGTTGATGTGTCCCATTGTACAATTAGCATCAATTTGGACGTGCGACACTAAGGCCACTTGTTCGGCTAAGCTTAAAAGTTAGTTTTCCTCCGTTTTTTAATTGTTATGTGAACACTGTACTTTTTAAATTGTGCAAACTGTAATGGAAGTCAGTAAAAGGCTAATTGTTGTACTTATAAACTTTTTTTGGCTTCATTTTCATCTTCAATCTTTTATTAGTAAAAGTACGTTTTGTCTCTCATGGTGAATTCCATCCAAATGATACGTTAGGACGTTGCTCCTTATATTTTTAAATAAGCAAAATTAATAATAAAAACAAATGTTCGTAAAAAAAATTTGTACCCTCATTTTAAAGTACGATAAAATAATAATTGGACAAAAATGGTCATCAATAGCACTATTTGCTATTAATTATAATATAAATATAATAATGAGACGAAAAAAGTTGGTGTAATCGTGTGGTAATGAGAGAAGGTTGAGATTTTTATTGCAATTGAAATGTGGTTTACATAAAACAAAAAGTGTAATTTGAATGTGATTATCCTTTTTTATTTTAGGAAGTAAATATTGTTAGTGAAAAAATTAAGTTTTAAAATCATTTATGGCGGAGAAAAACATAAAAGTAACTTTTATAAATTTTTAATGGGTGCCACACCAATAATTTAATTCATTTGATCTGTAAATTTATAAATAAAAGTAACTTTCATAAAAGATTATCATTGATTGGTACGGATGGAGATCATATCTGTTAATTTATAAATAAACATTAGCGAGTTATAAATAAATGAATAATATTTGTGAATATAAAAAAAGGTGTAACTATAGAGCAATTTTACTTGGTGGTGGGCCACACCTTTTTTGACCACCGTTTGAAATTTGGGTGGAAAGTGGGACAGGGTGTGCTTTAGAGTCGTTGATGATGAATAAAAGTTGGCACCTTTGTGCCTTTCTTGAAGCTTTACAGTTGTATATGTTTTTTCTGTATTGACTATTGAGTACTTAAAGCTTATCAAATAACTGCTCCATTCCTGACTTGATAGATTGTTCATTGCTACCAAGGCTGTCGATATCTCATTTGTACTTGAGTTGATCGGGTCAAATCGACCCATACTTTTAACGATTATTCTTGGTTGACATGTAAAATATTCACAGAAGTCCTAAAGAAAGGACACAACAAGTGAGTAGATGGTTTTCTTTTGGTAATAAAATATTTACGAATAAAGCACTCTGCACAGATCCCTTTGTACAGAGCTTCTACAAGGACTCTCACATGGGGGTGGACTCCACATTCCACTTTATGTGTGTGTACCTATACAGACCTTGCGCAAAAGAGTCTGTGCAAGTAGCGCAACTGAATATTTACATAGGTTCCACCCTCCATGTTAGAGCCCTGTAAACATTCTATGACTTCTCCATGTGTACACATGGAATAATTTTAGTTTTAAAGTTGAAAGAGTTGGATTAAAGATCCCATGCCCATAACTTCGCTAAAACATATGATCACAAAATGGATAGAAATTTCTGGGTGACAAGCAGGCTTTTTACCATCCGAGAGTAAGGCGAAGTAATAAGAAAACAATTTAGAGGAATAAACGAATATCTGAATACGTACACTGACCATCATAGGTTATTTCAATGCCATAATTGGATCTCAATTTTAAACAAATTGTACCAAATATAACGCTTGTTTGGGTGCGCTTGTTTTCAGAAATTATTGATTTCTCACTGTTCATTGGGTTTAGGTGGAGACCTAAAAATCTTGCATGACCTTTCATAATTCAAGGTGTTTTTGCCTAAAAAATAAATGAAATATTGTCCTGTGAAGTTGATTCACGCAAGGTGACAATTGTTGTCGACTTCTGAGGTTTGGAATCAATTTGAAATCTGAAAATTGTAAGCTTGACAACTAAAACATGGAGATGTAGTGGTCTATTTAACTCCAACCGTCAAGTTACTGTGTATACATGAATTATTTGGTCTAGTTACGGTTGATTTAGAAAATTCCAATCACTGAATGAGTTATTGCTTTGTATTTATAGTGGAAATGAGTAGTAATTGCTTTGTTGGAACACACGGGTCGAGGGTCGTCCATGTGAGATAAGTTCTTAAAGTGAATTGGAGGGATTGGTTGAAAAGAATTCAAACTCATAACTCCCCATCAACTCCTGTCCACTTTTATAATCTTGAAATGACTCCCATTACTTAGAATTGTAAGATGAGAGAGAAAAGATGACAATAAAATATGTAAAATTTATATGGAAACATACACATAAATTGAAAAGTGCCTAGAATATATATGGCATTAAAACTCACAAAAATTGGCATTTAGATTGTAGATAATAATACCCTTCCATTATAATCGGGATTGAGACAATTGGAGTGCTAGAAAACAGAATTTGATACTTGGAAAGCAATGTATTAACCACATAAAGATCTTGGAATTCATCAATTCAAGTAAAGATTTTTGACAAGTAATTTATGATTATTATGCAAGCTGCAAATTCCTACCACCTTCAAAAGGAAGTGACTTATCTCATGAATTTATAGATTTCATAAAATTTTAATGGGCGCCACACAAATAATTAATGATAAACTTCTTGAAATTTCGGTGTGTAATGTATCGTCAACAGCTATTCCAATTCTATTATAAATGCTATTTAGCTTACAAGTGTCATTAATTGATAAATTACCTTCAAAGTGAAAAATAAATTACATTTAAAATATCCAATAACTTGCATGACACATAACAGGTGCTCTAGCACCACTAATATTAGATAGCAAATTCAGCAATATACTTAATTCTGGATTCATAAAATATAGAACTGTCAAAACAAGCATATGCCTTGACTGTAATCTGACTGTCTGACTGTTTATACCCTCTTCCTTGTTGCTGGGACTTGAAAAGCCAGATGAAATCAATACATGATCGTTCCAGGAAAACATGAACACGCTCAAATATAGTTCTTAGATTTATAATTTTATTTTACATGGAGAGAGACACCAACAGATGCAGCAAGGAATTATCTCAAATATGATTCCAAAATATGACTGGAGAACAAAAACAAACAACTCATGGAATTTCTCTTCAACTCTTAACTGTAGATAAGGTCTCTGATACTGACAGATCCTGCGTATCCCGACCACTTTCATCCCCGACCATTTACGAAGGCGTTTCTTACGATTTCCAGTCATCGGTGCTTGGGATGTATATGGTCCTCGGGATATTTTGCCCGACCTTGATAACTTTCAAAGATTGCAAGATGTCCTCGGGAATAATAGCTCGGGAAAATCCCCTTGAGGTCCTCAATTACCACCTTCCTCGTACTAAGGAGAAGGTCTATCCCCTGAGAACTCTTATCTAACACAAATACTTCAAACCACATCTCCTAAGTCTAAGAGAGTCCTCTTAATAATTGGTCTTCTAATCATAGTAGGATCCAAACACTGCTTTCTCATGGGACTCTATCGTATAAGGATACCCAGATAGTTAAATCCTACTAGGAAAGCACCATACACCTCTATAAATACAGAACCTTAAGCCATTATTCAGGTACGTTTTTCATTATTCTCCAGTTTATAGCCTCACACATATAATTCACTTTCTGACTTAAGCATCGTAGGGACGACGAGAACATATATTGTTGCCTTTGTTTTAGGTACCGGAAGACTACGATCGTGCTCAATCAAAATCATCTAGCTCGGAAAATCAACAAGTACGATTTTTGGTAGTATCATTGGCGTCGTTTGTGGGAAACGTTACCAAAAGCCATGGTGAACACACGATCAGGTCTTCCTCCCGTAAGCTCATCCGCTCCCATCCCTCATCCTGACGAAAATCAACCGGCTCCTCATGAAGAATCCTCAGGAGTGCCCGCACCTCTGCCAACGATCATCACAACCGAAACCTTTGAAGAACTCTATCAGCAGGTGGCCACGCTCATGCAACTGTTAAGTCAAAGAAATTCACATCCGTCACCAGCACAGATAGAGCATGGCAGTTTTATGGCTGATACTCAAGTACGACCACCAAACCCCGCAACTGGCAGAGTAGGAGCCTCGGGTATTCACAATATGGCCTCGGGCTTGAGATCAATCGCCACGGATTCCGGTGAAATTGCCCGGATCATTCAAGAAGGAATTACAGCTGGCCTGCAACGGAATGCTCGGGGGCCAACATGTTTCACCCCTAACACTCCATTCACGCTAGAAATATTGTCATATCCCTTGCCCGACAGATTCAAATATTCTCGCATTAAAGAGTATGATGGGACGACCAACTCCATCAACCATCTCAATGTATATACTGATGTCATGAACTTGCAAGTTACACTGGATCAGGTTATGTGCAAAGCCTTTCCGCAAACGCTGACTAATGCTGCTAGGGATTGGTTATCGACATTAGAGCCCAACTCCATAGCCTCATTCTCAGATTTGGTTGATAAGTTCTCAGCCGTCTTTGCAAGTAGTAAGCGAATTAGGAAGACCACGACCTCTCTCATGAAACTTCGCCAGGGACCAACTGAAATCCTATGAGGATTTATGACAAGGTTTAACAAAGAGAGGTTTCAAATACCCGACCTTCACATCACAGCAGTTATTTTCGCCCTCACTTATGCTGTAAGATGTGAAGCTTTCAAGATGTCTTTATCAAAGACCCCGTCGCAGACAGTGACCGAGCTCCTCACCCGAGCTGAAAAATACATTAATATGGAGGAAACACTAAATCCAAGGAGACCTAGTCCTTCCCATGAAAAGGTCGAGAACAAGAGGCAACATGATCCCGTCCCCAGGCATGAGCTTCCTCGAGATAAGCGCAGGAAAGAGGCGCCGTCAGCACCTGTCACTCAATTGAACACCTCTAAGACAAACATCTTGATGGAAATTAAGGATATGAAAGAATTAAAGTGGCTTTCAAGAATAAAGTCGCTTCTTGACACAAGAGATAGGAGCAAGTATTGTGAATTTCACCTGGATCATGGGCATACCACAGAGGATTATCATGCTTTACAGCAAGAAATTGAAGTTCTTAGCAAAAGATGATTTTTAAAGAATTACATTGGTCATGATAAGCGCCCAAGGAATGACCGTGACAATCAGAAAGAGCCCGGAGCCGGAAGCAGTGCTCAACCCACTGCCGGGACCATTAATATTATCGTTGGGGGATAGCGTCTGGAGGAGACACAACTAGTGGGCGAAAGCATTATGCCTGCCAACATGCTCATACCCCAAGAAAATCCCTTAATGAAGTCAAAGGCATCACTTTTGGAGCAAGAGATTTGGAAGGATTATCATATCCTCATGACGATGCCTTGGTCGTCTCTGTTGTTGTGGCTAACTTCGAAGTAAAAAGGATTTTGGTTGATAATGGGAGTGCAGCAAATATACTCTCGCAGGAGGCTTCCGCCAAAATGGGGATCTCTCCCAAACAGCTCAAAGCAGTAAAAACTTCTCTACAGGGATTTGGTGGGGGAGTCATTATCCCTGAGGGCATCGTCGAGCTCCCGCTTACATTAGGATCTAGTATTACACAAGTGACGGAGATCACACCATTCCAAATGATTAATACCCCAATGGCCTACAACATCATTCTGGGAAGACCTCTATTAAACAAGATCCAGGCTATTGTATCAACTTTCCGCCTGGCCATGAAGTTCCCCACAGGTCATGGCATTGGAGTAGTTCGAGGAGACCAAACAGCTGCCAGACAGTGCTATGTTACTAGCATCCGAAGAACGAGTACAGACGTCATGCAACTTTTAGACCTCGAGCTCAAGCCAAGGGGTAGATTGGCCCTCGTTGAGGAATTGGAAGTGGTCGAGCTCGAGCATGGAAAAGTGGTAACTATTGGTTGAGATTTCAAAGCCAACCTCCGGGAGGAAGTCATCAATTGTTTGTCCTGCAATATTGAGGTCTTTGCATGGAAGGTGGAGGATATGCCAGGGATAGACCCAGAAGTAGCTGTCCATAGACTCAATATCAGCCCAGGGGCCAAACCTGTTAAGTAAAGGAAGAGGCAGTTTGCGCCGGAAAGACGTATGGTCATTCAGCAAGAAGTCGACAAATTGGTGAGAGCGGGGTTTATAAAGGAAGTCCAATACCCCAATTGGCTCGCTAACATTGTTCTTGTGAAGAAGGCCAATGGTAAATGGAGAGTCTGCATTGATTTCATAGACCTCAACAATGCGTGCTCTAAGGACAGCTACCCGCTCTCCAGGATAGACAATCTTGTGGATAGCACATACGGACATAAGTTGTATAGCTTCCTAGACGCACTCTCAGGGTATCACCAGATTCTCATGGCTAAGGAGGACCAAGAGAAGACTTCTTTCATGGCTGATTCTGCCATATATTGCTATAGGGTCATGCCATTTAGGTTGAAGAATGCTGGGGCAACATATCAAAGCCTGATCAACAAAATATTTGCTAATTTGATAGGGAAGAATATTGAGGCCTACGTTGACGACATGGTGGTAAAGAGTAAGAAGATAGAAGTGCATGTATCTAATCTCGAGGAAGTGTTCGCCACCCTCCAAAAATATAAGATGAAGCTCAACCCAAAGAAATGTGTATTTGACGTAGCTTCGAAATTTTTTTTGGGTTTCATGATCACTCATCGGGGGATTGAAGCCAACCCCGATAAGATTCAGGCTTTGGCAGCAATGGAACCACCAAGGACCAAGAAAGAAGTTCAAAAGTTGACAGGCAGGGTAGCCGCCTTAAACAGGTTCATGTCCCGAGCAGCAGACAAGTGCTTCCCCTTCTTCAAAGCTCTCAGGGGTAATCATTGCTTTGAATGGAATGAGGAGTGCGAAAGGGCTTTCTAGGAACTCAAGTAGACATTGGAATCTCCTCCTATCCTCACCAAACCCAAGCCCGGGGATACTTTGTATTTGTACTTAGCCGTGTCTCAGAATGCAGTGAGTGGTGTCCTGGTGAAAGAGGTCAACAGGGCCCAACAACCCATTTATTACGTAAGCAAAGTCTTACTTGATGCAGAAACAAGATACACTTTGGCAAAACAACTTGCCCTTGTGCTGATAGTAGCAGCACGAAAACTACAGCAATATTTTTAGTCACATCCTATTGTAGTGCTCACCAATCAGCCTCTAAAACACATTCTTCAAAAAGTAGACGTCTCAGGGAGATTACTAAAGTGGGCAATTGAACTCAGAGAATTTGACATAAAGTTCAAACTCCATCCATCTATCAAGGCTCAAGCCTTAGCTAACTTCATTGTAGAACTCACACCAAGGCCTCGGGGGCCAAATGGTAGCCCGAGCTCTTCAACAGGTGTATGGCAAATTTTTGTAGATGGAGCATCAAACTCCTCTGGCTCGGGTACAAGGGTCATAATCATAAACCCGGACACGCTCATAAACATTCAGTGTGCACTCAGGTTCGAATTGGAGGCAACCAATAACGAAGTAGAGTATGAGGCCATCATCATAGCCATGGAACTTGCCATCAATCTCGAGCTTGGAAACATCAAAATTTATAGTGATTCCCAGTTAGTAGTTGGGCAAATTGAAGGGACCTTCGATAGGAAGGACGAGAAGATGAGCTTATACTGTTTGAAAGTGCATGATCTCTAGAGAAAGTTCAAGAGTTGTGAAATTATGAAAATTACTCGAGCTGAGAATTGTAAAGTCGATGCCTTGTCAAGATTGGTGTTCATGGGGATAGATGGGCTTGACAGGACAGTCCACGTTAGAATTGTAACCAAGCCAAGCATCAATCAAATCGTAGGCATCATGGATATTGATAATGAGCCATCGTGGATGGATCCGATAGTGGATTTCATAAAACATGGCAATCTTCCAGAAGATCCTCGAGCAGCAAGAAGCATCTGGTCCAAAGCTCCAAGGTATTGCATGATTGAAGGAGTGTTATTTCGCCGAAGCCTCACACTTCCATATCTCAGATGCCTTAAGCCTTCCGAATCATCCCAAGCCCAAGAAGAAGTTCATGAAGGAATATGTGGGAACCATCAAGGAGCTCGGGCATTAGCCTTCAAGCTCATAAGGTATGGATATTATTGGCCTCTCATGAAGAAAGACGCCCAAGAATTTGTCAAGTGTGACGAGTGCCAGAGATTCGGCAATATCATTCACTTTCCCGTAGAGGACCTCACTAGCATTAATTGCACGGCCCCGTTTGAGTAGTGGGGAGTTGACATCCTTGGTCCCTTTCCAATAGCAAGGGGACAATTGAAATTTGTAACTGTAGAATATTTCACTAAGTGGGTGGAGGCCGAGCCTTTAGCAACAATTTCAGAGCCTAAGTTGAGAACTTTCATTTGGAGGTCCATCATATGTAAGTTCGGGATACCGAAAGTCCTCATAACTGATAATGGCAAACAGTTTGACAATGCACAATTTAAAAACTTCTGCTCCAACCTAGGGGTTGATCACCGTTTGACATCGGTTTTCCATCCTCAAAGTAATGGTCTTGCCCAAGCAACCAATCGAATTATATTGCAAGGCCTCCATACTAGGATCGGAGATGCAAGAGGTTCCTGGTCTGACAAGTTACCTTCCATACTTTGGACATATAGAACGTCCCATAGAATTGCTACGGGGGAAACCCTCTTCATGTTAGCTTTCGATATCGAGGCCACCATCCTTGTTGAAGTCAGGTTGCCCAGCCAAAGAAGGCTTGAGCTTGAAGGTGCAGGATGCACCACTGAACACCTCGACCTCTTAGAAGAAGTTCGTGATCAGGCAACTTTAAGAATGGCCTCTTACCAAGATAACACATCAAAGTATTTCAATAAAAAAGTGAGGACGTGGAGATTCAGAGCCGAAGACCTTGTGTTAAGAAGGGCCGAAGTAGCAGGTCATGCTCCCGGCAAGCTCGGACCAGTCTGGGAAGGACCCTTCGAAGTCATACGACAGCTTCAAGGAGGAGCATACAATTAAGGGATACGTTAGGAAGACCACTTCCAAGACCATGGAACGGCTAGAATTTAAAGATATATTACAAGTAACTTGTTCTTCAAGTTTTCAGTATTCAGGCCTGCGCGTCAAGGTTCACGTTTTCAGTTCTCAGGCCTATGTGCCAAGTTTTATTTTTCGTTAGTCAGGCCTGCATGCCAAGGTTCATGTTTTTAGTTGTCAGGCTTGTGTGCCAAGTCTAATTTTGAAGTATAATAAGAATTAATTTATTCATCAAAATGTGATCTCGCTACTAAAAGTCTTGCCCCGCGCAAACAACTCAAACCTTGTCCTGCGCAAGCAATCAAAAAGCCTTGCCCCGAGCAAGTACTCTAAAAGCTTTGCCCCGTGCAAGCAACAAAAGCCTTGCCCCGCACAAGAAACTCAAGCCTTGCCCTACGCAAGCAATCAAAAAGCCTTGCCCCGCGCAAGCGATCAAAAAGCATTTATCCCCAAGCAAACACATAAAGATTGTTATCAGGGCAAACAAAAGTAAAATTCCCGATCACACAGTGCCTGATCAACGATGTGATGAATCTTATAAAAAAACCCATCATCTTCCTCGGGAATCACTATAGGTCGAGACGATTTCATTGTCATAAAGTCCTCGAGACAATTTCTCTATTAAAGGATGACCCTAAGATCGAGTTACTACCTTGTCTGAAACTTCTATGGATTAAGTCATCGAGATGTTAACTTATCTATGACGTCGAGATATCAATTCATCTTAGGTGTCGAGTTGTTCAATTCATCTAGGCGTAGAGTTATTAAGTCATCTAGGCGTCGAGTTATTAAGTCATCTAGGCGTCGAGCTGTTTAATTCAACTTAGGCGTCGAGCTGTTTAATACATCTGGGCGTCGAGTTATTAAGTCATCTAGGCGTCAAGCTGTTTAATTCAACTTAGGCGTCGAGCTATTTAATACATCTTAGGCATCGAGTTATTTAATTCCTCTAGTCGTCGAGATATCAATTCATCTAGGCGTCGAGTTATTAAATCATCTAGGCAACGAACTGTTTAACTCATCTTAGGCGTCGAGTTATGGATTCTCTTAAAGTCGAGCTAGGTCACATCACTTAGTATAGTTCTCAAACGAACTTAAAGCTCGAGCAAACACAATCGAAATAACATAGTAAGAAGCGCAAGTTAAGCTCGGGAAGAATACATTGATTTCAAAAATTGATTAATCAGTACAAGAGCCAAGAGTAGCCAAAAACAAAAAGAAAATAGAAACTAGTCTATGTCTTCGGCTCCTTCTCCCGAGCCGAGCTTCCTTGCTCTTCTGCCACGTCCTCGCCGTCAATATCGACCTCCTCGTCCTCGACGGTTTCCTCGGACTCTGAAAGATCGAGGTCTTCAGCAACCTCTGGGATGTTCTTTAAATCCTCGGGCTTTGCATCAGGCTTCGAGCGCAAAAATGCCCAAGCCTCTTTCAAATCATGGAAGTACGAGCCCATGGCGTACTCTCCCTTCAGCCCATTGAACTCCTCAGATGTTTTGAAATCTTCGATCGCGATGCCTCGAGGTTCAGACAGGCGAGTTTCAAAATCCCTCTTCAAACACTCGATCTCGAGCTTTAAATCCTCGACCTCGCCCTTGGCCATTCCAGCCCCTTCCCGGGCTTTCTGAAGGTCATTCTTGGCGTCATCGCATTCCTTCTAGAGAAGGAAACGCTCAGCCTCCATGTCAGCAATTCTCTTCTCATGTGCTCGAGAAGTATCCTTGAGCTCAGCAGTCTTTTATGCCTCGTCTTTTCCCTTCAAAGAGAGGCCTCGGGCAATACTCAGAGTCTGCAATATATAAAACCCAACCTTAATGATCACGTCATATAAACCCATAAACTACACTAAGTAAAATGAGCGAGCTTACCTTTGGCGTAAGGGATTCAAGAGCTTTCATGCCCTCGTCGAAGCCGAGGTCCTTTCGATATTTGTCCACAATGCTCAACACCAAAGGACACCAATCAGGATCTCAATTTTGAAATGAAGGCACAAGAGGAACCTCATCCTCGAGGCCAACAACCTCGGGAGTACTCCTTGACCGAGGACGTGATCGAGGAGTGGCAATCGGAGTCTCGTGCTTGGGAATGATCTGGGATTGTCCTCGAGCAGATGTCTCGCTAGGACCACTCCTAACAGTCTCAGGCCCTGAATCTCGAGGTCTCTTTTTCCCCTTTTTTTGACCTGGGGCCCTCGACTTCTTGTTCACGGCCTGTCGAAGAGCTGAAGGATCGAAAGTCATCCCTGAAAAGACAAATAATTAGCGTGAGCATAATTAACAAAAACAGATCGACGAGAAAAAGGCGAAAGTACGATCCCTACCCTCAGCACCTTTCACATCTGCAAGATCAAGGATATCTTCCCCCAAAATGTCATCTATGTCATAAGCGAGAGGCTCGAGGTTCTCTAACATCACCCTATCCCTTTCTAAAGACTCGAAATAGGCCTGCCCTTCACAAAACCTAGCCGTGTCGGGCAAAATCCACCTAGGACTAAAAGAAAAGTCAGAATCCTGAGGTATGACATAAAACCACTTTTCTTTCCACCCCTTTAATGAACTTGGCATCCTTGGTATCCTGAAACCTCCTCGAGATGAAAGGTAGGCAAAACATGTATATTGAGGCAGCTGTTTTAAATCGAAGACCATTCTACAAAGGTCGACGTATGGGTCAATACCTAAGTACCTACATGCTATAAAAAAGTAAGCATCCTCCATCCATTTGACATGAGCTGACCAGGGCTCATGTTGTGCTCGACCAGTAAAGCTACAAAGAAGGGGTGCAGGGGCCATATAAATCCACCCTTTAGCGAGTCTCTAAAAACTACAAACTCTCCATCTCGAGCAATAGTCATCCTATCCTTGCCCCCTGGCGTCCTAATATCACATTTAGGCATGAGCCCATGCTCCCTAACCGTCGATATTACTAGATGCTCCTTAAATTTACAGGGAAGGTCAGGGTACCTAAGTGGGGTTAGGATACCTTGTGCTCGAGGATGTACATTAATGGGCATGGTCATAGGTATGATCGAGCGCTCCCTGTCCTCGGGGGTACTCCTCGAGGAAGAGTACGAGGACTCACTACTACTACTAGACATCCTGACTTAGGAAAAAAAGTGTCTATAGAATAACTTAAGGTCTCAAGGTCTTACCTTAAAGTCGATGCCTAAAAAACCCACCAAAGTTCTGATCCCGACGATTAGCGAGAGAAGTTTACTGAGAGTGAAAAGTGAAAAATGAAAAGAGAACAAGGTATTTATAGGCAACAGAAGAGGGAATCCCAAAGGTCACTACCCCGACCATCAGATCTGGCCACGTGTCCTACATCCAACCCCTAACGCTTTTTACCGCCTTTTCTTATTTAGGGCTTACCTCAGTGCACGTCAGCCCTTCTGAACACCTGTCTTCAAGAACTCCCTCGAGATTATGAACCGAGCTCTTTTCTTTCTGGCTTATTTTGCACCATATTCTCGAGAAAGGCTCGAGAATAGGTGCACGAGGGCCAGTGATACTGACAGATCCTGTGTACCCGACCACTTTCATCTCCGACCATTTGCGAAGACATTTCTTACGATTTCCAGTCATCAGTGCTCAGGATGTATATGGTCCTCGGGATATTTTGCCCGACCTTGATAACTTTCAAAGATCGCAAGATGTCCTTGGGGATAATAGCTCGGGAAAATCCCTTTGAGGTCCTCAATTACCACCTTCCTCGTACTAAGGAGAAGATCTATCCCCTAAGAACTCTTACCTGACACAAATACTTCAAACCACATCTCCTAATTCTAAGAGACTCATCTTAACAGTTGGTCTTCTAATCATAGTAGGACACAAACACTGCTTTCTCATGGGACTCTATTGTATAAGGATACCCAAATAGTTAAATCCTACTAGGAAAGCACCATACACCTCTATAAATACAGAACCTTGAGCCATTATTCAAGTACGTTTTTCATTATTCTCTAATTTATAGCCTCACGCATATAATTCCCTTTCTGACTTAAGTATCGGAGGAGCGACGAGAACATATCTCGTTGCCTTTGTTTCAGGTACCGAAAGACTACGATCGTGCTCAATCAAAATCATACAACTCAGGAAATCAACAGGTACGATTTTTGGTAGCATCAGTCTCAAAATTAAATTTGAATTACATTTACTAAAGCTAATACTTCCTTCGCTATTGAAGCGAAAAAAGAATGATAGATATTAGCCGCTACCAGGAGGATTTGTAGATTAGTCAAGATGCTTGTTAGCAAGCTATCATTTATAATGATCGGGATAGTTGAAGCAAACCACCCAAGTATATTATCTTACAGCAACAAGAGCACCATTTGAATGTCGAATGTCCTGTCATACTAGGATAGCTTCCAAATATAGTGCCTTAGACCTCAATAATCACGTCTACTAGGGGATCGCCAAAGTTATGACCTTCAATTTATCCAATAACAGAAAATAAGTCAGCATGATAATTCCAGAAATGTCTGCAGTAAAAGTTAATACTTCAAGTCTGTACCAACTTGGGAAAATGGAAAGGTTCGTACAAGTTATTAGAAACTAAGTTAAACTTGTAATTCTAGGTTCGTGGAACACATTTTCCCTGTACTTATATGAAGATTAACACTACCAAAATAATTTTATCCCGTTCAGCCAAGGCTGTATAACAAGGTCCTACTCACTGAATGGTTCCTTTTTTTTATTCTCAGTGGATTTCTATTGTGATTCTCCGTGGCAGCGAATGATTCCTTTTAGTGATTCTCAGTGGATGATTCTTTTTTGTGATACTCAGTGGATGGTTTTTTGTTGTGGAAACTTCTTGTGATCATTAGGAGATCTCCAACCTGGTGAAACATTGTTCTCCTTCTGTGGGAATTTCTATCACTATTTGAATCATCATGTGTACTGTCTAAATGATCAAAATCTTCTAAATTTGATGTTCCTCCATCATCCGTGAAGGGAGAAGAATATAATCTCTGATGCGAAGAAACTGATTGTGGTGTACGAGGCTCTGCCTTCGGTGTTTCAGCATTAGCATCAAATATTGAGCCTTTTGAGGGCTCTGCGTTCTTGGGATTTCATCTAAATCTTTTCCATATGCATCTTTAGGTCATTCATGAACTTTAGATCTTCAAGATTGAAGCTGAAAGTTTTGTTCATATTCTCGTCACCATGTTCCTGTTCCACTGAATCTGGTGGATTCAGCATTATATACTGCCCCTTATCCTCAATCTTCAATTCTATTGATGCTGTAGAAAGCAACTTCGTGTATTCATTCATATTCTCACGAGCAGAAGCCCCATTAATTCCAAGGCGTTCATTCTCTCGAGTAAGAAAAAGTAAGGCCTCGTCTTTCTCGTAAAGGCAATCCTTGAGTCGGGAATTTTCATCAATGGCAATGGCTTCATTGATTTGGGGATGAATTGATTTAATTAGTAATATATTATTTACTACAATATTAAATCTTAATATAACCTGAATTTTGAAATATGAAACTTGAAATATGTTTTATGAAATGTAAATTTTAAAAATAGGGTATTGTGTAATTTCCACATCAAAATAACTCTTAAAATATATGAACTCTAGAAGGAGCCAAAAGAGAGGAGAAATAACATAACAATTCCGAAAAATTAAATAAAGATAAATTGCATCGAGGTCCCCATCCTATATTCTTCTTGAAATTTTAACCTTAATATTGGTTTTTTGACAATAAGTTAGGAATTTGTCTGGTTTGATGGTCGTGATTTGTCCATATTGAAAAAATTGTACTGTGAATCTCAACCCATTTATCGAGTTGTATTATAGTCAGCAATCTTTATTTTTTAGTAGCACAATTAGCAATGTTCCAAAGCGCAAAACAGGATTAGACTACAAGTCAAGTTTTACAACTCCTAAGCGCACATTTAATAATTAAAAATGGTAGAGTAAACCGAAAACTTGAGCCCCACAGTGTCCGGCCCTGTTCTAGGTAGGAATACCCTGCTCAATTGAGGCGACAAGGCCCTTCCCTTTTGTTTAAAATCTTAACAAGAAAAATATCAAAATTGGTTTGAAAAATGATCTCACGATTCCAACCCAACTTTCATGTCCAAACTCATTAACCAAATTTCAAATTACCCACTCGACTATCCAATGCTACTAGAACGGGACCGTACCCGGATTTGCCATTCCATGCACATTGGGGACAGATAAATACATACTTATAGATGATATGTTGATATTCAAAGCTAAAGACGCCAATGGCATATATGGAATTGGCCAACGACACTTCTGGCTACAGACAGTGGAAGGGGCAGCTAAGGCCATTTCCAGCTCTACACCAAATTTTACACCAAGCTAAAATTAATCTCCAACCATTACACCAAATGAATAACGTTTAACCATTTTCTTCCCTTTTTTATTCTTTATAATTTATTTATTTAATTATTTTATAAATACATAAATTACTAAATAAATAATTACGTTATATTACGGAAAAGATTAAATTCTTTAATTAATATAAAAAACATAATACAATTAATAAAAACACTAAAACAACGAAAATCGTAAATCATGCCATTAGAAATTAGTACAATGCATTTCGAATTTGAATATTACGGTATTACGAAGTCGCAAAATTTCTACAATTTAATTTTCTGAATTCATATGTTCTTCCCACAAATGATCAATTAATGTATTTCGAATTTTATTTATCTTTTTGTTTAAATAAAATTAGATTTATTGTATGTATGTCATTGTTTAATATATTTTGTGTTAACTTTAATAAATAATTGTGTTTTTTATATTTTAAATTTTTTCTTCTTTTAATTAGTTATTATTTCTCACATTTAGAATTTATTTTAAACGCAAATAATAACAATAATTTATAGTATTAAAAAAGATATAACACAAATGACACAACTACCCTTCATCAATTATTTGGAAAAGGAGAAGAAAGGGCCAAAATAGACTTTCACCACTTTGCACCAAAATGGTGCAAAGTATAATATTGTATTGAAGCAACTTTGCACCAAAAAATGGTGCAATTTGATAGTTTGGGGTTCGCATTGGAGATGCCCTAAGGTTGAGGGTGGGGCAGGGTCAATGTTGAGACTGAAGATGGTATTTCGTTGTTTTTCCCCGTGTTTTTATTTCCTTTCAGTATTATTTTTGCTAAAAACTTGCATTTAGCCCTTGAGCTTCTTCTTCTTCTTCTTCCTTTTTTTTTTTTTTTTTTTTTTTTTGGGAAAAAATTTTATATAAATTTAGTAAAATATGATATCTAAAAAATATATAATTGAAAATGATTGGCAAAAAATAAATTTGAAAACAAGAGTCAAGCCAAGACTTAATCTTTCATTTACTTTGTCGACAGGGGCCTTTTTCATAAGATAATAAAAAAATTTGGACGGATCTAACAAGAGATAAATGTTCAAGGATAGTAATACACAAACCAGATCTCTTGTCCAAACTATAATACCCACAGAGGTATGACGCGACATCTACTGTAGGTATTCATAAATCTCGTCCACTGTTTGACAAAGAGATCAAACTAGATACACCTACCTAATATTCTATCCCATAATGGACATAAATTATAGTGTTCACCATGAATGTGACATCATGTTGTGTTACCACATCACTAGTGAAGATATGATGCGACAATATTGCCAAACCCATGTACAAGTAAAATAACAAAGTAAGATAGCACTACGTAATCTTTAGGCCTACAGCTAGATAATTTAATTATAGATCACCCAAGTTTACTATAGATTATTGCTCGTTGATTGATTTTTTAAAAGTTACTCGCTATTTACTTAATTTTGCTATAAATTAGTACTTCATTAAAATTTAAAAAGTTACTTATTGCTCATCAAGCTTTGCAATAAAGAACACTCATGAAATTATTGCTCATCAAGCTTTGCAATAAATAACACTCATGAAAATAATGTGAGTAATTGATGAGTAACTTTGTTCATATTTGAGTAAACAATACGTAACCCTTTAAATTTCAGTTAGTAAACTATAACACAATTCAATGAGCCATCCATCTCTCTGCTTTCATAATCAAGAACGTGGAAATCCATCGAAGGTTGAATTAACTCTAATAACACACTAAAGTTACAGGACTCGCATACATCAAAAGGTAATTCAAATATCAGATAATCCGAAGAAACTAAACCTCCAAAATACTTTTAAAACAAATTCACTACATTAGATGCAACATGATATAATTGTTCAACACAAGCAGTGTTATGGCAAACAAACAGAAATTTAGTTCACAAATACACAACAACTAAATGCCACGCTTGCATCCTTAACACAATTACCAATTTCATTACAGCATACACCACCAGCATCCAGCCAAGTTCTTTTCCAAAACCACCACCAAGATCTACTAGAGTTTAGTACACATCTATTACTCTTTATGAAGATAAAACTGAACACCACCACCAGACCTAAGTAATAGAATCTAGTCAATCTAAGCCCTCTCACCCCTAATCCTGCGAGCCAGCTGGATGTCCTTAGGCATGATAGTGACACGCTTGGCATGGATAGCACACAGGTTGGTGTCCTCAAAAAGACCAACAAGGTAGGCCTCTGCAGCCTCCTGAAGTGCTAAAACAGCATGGCTCTGGAAACGCAGATCAGTCTGCAGTTGCACAGAACAAGCAGTCCAGTAAAAAATGCACTTAGCAATAAATTAAGATCATTCTATTTAAAATATAGGAACAAAGAAAAAGAAAAAGAAAAAGAAAAGTTTACATTGTCAATGTACCTTGAAGTCCTGGGCAATTTCTCGAACAAGCCTCTGGAAAGGCAGCTTCCTAATCAACAGTTCAGTACTCTTCTGATACTTGCGAATTTCACTGTATCATAACATTTATATAATAAGAATAAACCAGCAGGACATTGACATAAGCATGCGTGGCCTAACAAGTATTTGAAGTAAAGGAATACTTACCGAAGAGCAACAGTCCCAGGGCGATAACGGTGAGGCTTCTTCACTCCACCTGTGGTTGGGGCAGACTTACGGGCAGCCTATAAAGAGAAATTAAACTAATCAAATTTTCCTAACAGAAAGCACTATTTCATTGCACAAATTAACAAATAGGAAAGCAAGCAACACATATAAACCTTAGTAGCAAGTTGCTTCCTTGGAGCCTTTCCTCCTGTAGATTTACGAGCAGTTTGCTTGGTACGAGCCATCTACCGACAATTACCATGAGAAATAGCTATCACATAATTTTCATAAAGAAACCCCAAAACTACGTAGCGAAGTATAATCCACGAATTAAATTAGATTTCCCATGCATTAATTTCACAAATCTCAAATGACCCTTAATTCGGAAAAGTAACTGCCAGCTATACTTTCAACATAATACAGAAATCGTAAGAACGCGAAAAAGAAAAATGAAAACCGAAAAAACAAACAACTAGCTCACCTACATTGACAAAAAAACACTAATCGACAGGGGAATATGAAACCCTAAGCATATATAAAATCATCATCCATCGAATCTAAAAATGATCGTACATAAACAATCAAATATGTTTAAGAAAAAACTTGCCGACTGAATTCAAATAAGCCCCGTTTGACCTCCATTAATTTCATTTCTATTACATTTCATTTTTTCCTTTTCTATTTTCAACCCAGGATCTTCCATACAATAATATTACACTTGAAAATTTCCTTTTTTTTTCAACCACTCTTTTTTCAAAAAAATAATATTCCATCCATTTTCATTTCTAAAAATTGGGGGCAAACGGGAGCTAAATTACAACCAAATTAAAATAAAGTACAGAAAGGGCAACTCACCTCTCGAACAGAATTCTCTCCCTTCTCTCTCTACCTCCTTTGGGCAGCGATTAGAAAGTTCAAAAGTCAAGACGGCCGGCATGTATATATAGGAGTCAAAGGAGTTGGATGTTAATTATTAATTATGATCGACGGCGAAGATTTAATATCCCGACGTGACCCAATTACGGAATCCCACGCTCATAAATGTGCTGGGTTGTGTTTTCTCAACCGAAATTAACGGCGTCTATCTAAACTAAGTGGTGTGACGCGGATCGAGTAGTCTCAAATCTCGATTGCTATTGGTCCAAAATTTTTAGCTTTGGAGTGTGTTTTTCTTTATTGGGCAAATAATTACAATTCTCTTATCCAAAAAGAAAAAATGGAAGGCCGTGAAAGCATTTAGCCTATTTTTCTTTCTTTGTGAAATTGGGTTACTGTTTTTGTGAAGCCCAAGTTGAAAGGTCCAATCCAAGACTCGAATTGATGACCCAACAAGTCGAAAAATCTGAAAAGGAGAAAAACTAATTAACAAGACGCGTTTTTCAGTCTCAAATAACAAATTTAAAGGATCTTCGACGCGTGGCAAGATAAGGGCCGTTAGATTGAATTTTTGAGCCTCTTTCATATAAAAACGAATAATATCTCTAGGGTTTGGGTCTTCTTCTGTTTTTGTTATTCTAGCAGCTTCCTTCGAGTGATTTGAATTTCTGCTTCCTTCGAGTGATTTGATTTTCTCTTTGTAATTTTTAATTTCTTTCTTAGATATTGTGTAGTAGTTGAGAGAAAGTGAGATTCATGAACTCTTGTGTGAGTTCTTGATGTTGAGAAGTGGCTGTGTGTCATTGTTTTGAGTCGGTGAACTGTGTGTTCTTTTGTAACTCGAATTATTGCTGTGTTTTTTGCCGGTGATTTAATGGATTTGAGCTTATTCCTTTATGGATGCTCAACGGGGATTAGGCGATTGACGTGGTCGTCGAACCTCGGGGCTTCGGTCGAAAAATCTCGTGTTCTTTACTATTTTTTGTTCAGATATACTTTATACTTGATCTTTTAGCGTTGAGATTTTTCTGATTTTGTAATGTTCCTGATTCTACAGTGGTATCAGAGCATTGGAAATAATTTTTTTTAGTCCTCTTTAGTCACGAGTTTGAAACCTGAGTCACCGGCCAAAAGGAAAACGGCAGATCTCAAAAGATCTGCCAACATTTAAAAAAATAAATAAATAAATATCTCTTCGCATTAGACAAAAATTTCTTGAGCATTTTAGTGTGTTTCTTCCATTCTGCAGTGTTTGGTGTTCTTTTATCCTTGTTGGTATTAATTTTTGAAATAAACAGTTTTTGTATATTGTGAACTCTATAGTGCTGTGGTAATATTGCCTCTTGGTGAAATAATTAGACTTTTTTTTTAGTATTGCTTGTACTTGCAGTTCTTGTGATAATTTTTGGTAACAAAAAAAAAATGTGTTTCAAAATTAGGATTCCATCGAAGCTCCCCTAAATCCACCTTTGTCTAGGGTTCCCTGAGAGAACCCTAGAATCTCTGGGGACTAGGGTTTCGGTTCAAGAAACCTGCATTTTTCTAAAACTGATTTTTGAAACTCTCACTGTGTAAAAACACACCAATATTATATCTCCATATTTGAATTGCTACATCTTTCTGGTTGAACTGTACTAATACTTAAATTGACCTTCTCAGGTGTTGAACTGCTTGAGAATAATTGCTTCAAAGGTACATACATTGCACTTACTCCTTTGGTAGTTTACTATGTGTTTGAACTCCATTGCATGCTTAGTGATCTGTATATTAACTATGTGTTAATCTGTGTGACGTACTTCTGTACACATCATACCTAAGCACAACTAATATATACTCTGAAATTGGAATAATTAGACAGTTATCTTTGTAACATACTGTTGATTGAATTACTACTGTGATATATTTGTTATATCATACTTGTGAACATTTTCACACTATTGTACACCATGAACTCTAAGGTAGATGTCCAAATTTGGGATGGCAAAGGAGACTTTAGTCTTTGGCGTCTGAAAATAAAAGCACTTATGTTACGGTTAAAATGTGCTAAGGCTATTGATGAATCTTGGCCAAAAATCCTATCTGAAGCTAGGAAAACTGAACAAGATGAACTGGCCTGGAGCACCTTGTTTCTGCACTTATCTGATTCTGTGATTAGGAAAGTAGAAGAAACTAAAACTGCTATAGAATTGTGGACTGCCTTAGAAAAGTATCACCTCACAAAGACTGTACCAAACAAATGCTTTCTTTGGAGACAGTTCTTTAGTTTTAAGTTTGATCCTAATCTTGACACGGGAGATAATATGGATAGATTTAATAGGATCACACAAGACTTAGCAAACTGTGATGAGAAAATTTCTGATGAACAAAAGGTAGTTGGCCTGCTTAATGCTCTAGGAGATAAATATAATGACATAAGAAATGCTATAGAGTATGGCAGGAGTGATTTCACGATTGAAATGATTCACAGTTTTCTTCTGAACAAAGAACTTGAATTAAAATCTGAACACAAAGAAGTGTTTCATGTTGAGGGTGTGTCATCAAATCAACGACCACATATTAAAGGTGTAAGTAACTTCACCCATTGCAATTTTAACAAGAATAAAAATTTTAACAAAAGGCAATGGATTAACACCAAAGGAAAATGCAAAAAATCAATTAAAGGAAAAACGAACAGCAACAATAACAGAAAATGCTTTTACTATGAAAAAACTAGTCACTTTATTAAAAACTGTTTTAAAAAGGCAAATGACCAACAGAATTGGTCTAATACTGAAAATGCTCCTTTAGCAGCTGCTGCTAATTATAAAAAAGTTGGAGCCAATATTGGAGTTGCCTATGTGTCTCTATCTGAAAGTACTGATCAGGACTGGGTCCTAGATTCAGGTTGTTCCTTTCATATAACACTCAATATTGGCTGCATCTCAGACTTTTGTAGTCTGGATGGAGGATTTGTAAAACTTGGGAATGATGAGTCATGTCAAGTGAAGGGAATTGGAAATGTGCTGCTGAAATTTAAAAATGGCCATCACATGTTAAAACATACTAGATATGTACCAGCACTTAGAAGAAATCTCATATCCTTAGGAGTTTTTGATGATGAAAATTACCAAATTGGTATTAAAAATGGCTCTACAAATACAACAAGAAATCAAGAACTTATTGTCAGTTTACCCAACCTCAATGGAATCTATGTAATAGGTTCTGAAATAATTTCACCTAAAAATGCTGTAAATTTTGTTACACAACCCGATAAATCAGAATTATGGCATAAAAAACTCGGCCATTTAAGTGAAAAGGGTTTAAAAACTCTATCATATCAAGGGGCATTTGGGAAAGATAGTGTTCAAAAATTAACTTTTTGTGAACACTGTATAATGGGAAAACAAGTCAGATTGCCTTTTCAGGCAGAGCTGCACAAATCCCAAGATATCCTTGAATACATACATTCTGATTTATGGGGACCTGCACCTGTTCCTACTGTATCTAGTTACAAATATTATCTTCTTACAACTGATGACTATTCAAGGAAAACATGGATTTTCTTATTAAAATCTAAGTCTGATACTTTTGCAATTTTCAAAGAATGGAATGTATTGATTGAAAATCAGACTGGTAAGAAGATAAAAATTCTAAGAACTGACTATGACTTTGAATTTTGCAATATTGAATTTGATCAATATTGCAGTAAACAAGGGATAATGAGACATAAAATCTAAGTCTGATACTTTTGCAATTTTCAAAGAATGGAATGTATTGATTGAAAATCAGACTGGTAAGAAGATAAAAATTCTAAGAACTAACTATGACTTTGAATTTTACAATACTGAATTTGATCAATATTGCAGTAAACAAGGGATAATGAGACATAAAACTGTGAGCTATACGCCACAATAGAATGGGGTTGCTAAGAGGTTAAATAGAACAATTCTTAAAAGGACCAGATGTATGTTAATCAGTTCTGGTCTTCCAAAAAAATTTTGGGGCGAGGCTATAAAAATACCCTGTTATCTTATCAATAGATGTCCTTCCAGCTCTCTAAATAATAGAATTCCCGAACAAATCTGGTCTGGTTCAATGCCAGATTATTCTCACCTAAGAACTTTTGGATGTGCAGCTTATGCACATTACACCGAGTCAAAATTGAACCCTAGATCGTTGAAGGGTGTGTTCTTAGGATATGGAGAAGGTGTTAAAGGCGATAGATTGTGGTTAAGAGATGTGAGAGGCTATAAAGTGATAATAAGTAGATTTGTAATCTTTAATGAAGATGACTTTCCTTGTCTTAGTGATAAATCTGGTGAGAAATTGGGAAATGATGACTTTATTATCACGAAAATTAATTTTGATAGCCAAAATACTAATGACCATGCTTAGTTTGAGGTGGAGCCACATCAGATAGAACCACAGATCATTATAGATGATGAAAATTTTGAAAATGAACAACACCTGGAGCCTGCACATGACCTGCGGGACTACCAGCTTGCTAGGGACAAAGAAAAAAGGCAAATAAGACCTCCTTCCAGGTATCAATATGTTGATTTTGAATCTGATCAGTTTGAATATGATCAGTTTGACATAGAACCTGCCTCTAATAAAGAGGCTATTTCTTCCAAAGAATCCCCTAAGTGGATTGCTGCGATGGAAGATGAAATGAACTCACTCTTTAAAAATGAAACCTGGACTTTAGTTGAAAAACCCAAAGATTGTAAATTGATTGATTGTAAATGGGTTTATATGATCAAAAAGGGTGAGTCTAAGGCTGGTGATGAAAGGTTTAAGGCAAGACTTGTAGCTAAAGGCTTTAATCAAAGGGAAGGGATAGATTACATCGAAATCTTTTCACCGGTTGTTAAATATACATCCATTAGAGTCCCACTTGCTATAGTGACACAATTTGACTTGGAGTTAGAACAACTCGATGTGAAAACTGTCTTCTTGTATGGTTCTTTAGATGAAACCATACATATGACTCAACTAAGAGGGTTTGAAGTTGAAGGAAAGTGAAACTTAGAGTGTCTCTTAAAGAAATCCTAGTATGGCCTAAAACAGGTCCCTAGGCAGTGGTATACAAGATTTGACTCTTTTATACAAGGTTTGAACTTTAAGTAATCAAAATATGATCCCTGTTTCTATAAAAGAAAGAAGGTGAATCTGATTTTTTCTATCTGCTTTTGTATGTCGATGATATGCTCCTTGCTGGTTATAATTCAGTTGCACTTAACTCAATTAAAGAAAATTTGAAATCTGAATTTGAAATGAAAGACTTAGGACCAGTTAGAAAGATTTTGGGCATGGAAATAAAAAGAGATAGAATAAATGAAAAGTTGTTTCTAACACAAAAATCTTATATTGATAAGGTTGTAAAAATGTTCTCACTTCATGAATCTAAGCTTGTTAGCTTGCCTTTATCTGCTGGTATGAAATTGTTTGTTGATCAATCGTCTAAAACTGAAGAAGAACATAAAAGAATGATGAATGTTCCATATTCTAATGCTATTGGATCTGTAATGTATGTTATGGTATGCTCTAGGCCTAATATTGCTTATGTTGTGAGTGTGTTAAGCAGATTTATGAGTAACCCAGGTGAAATACATTGGTAATGCATGAAAAATCTGATTAAATATTTGAAAGGAACCAGTAACTTAGGTTTAATGTTCAAAACGAATAAAAATGAACTTAGACTTAAGGGTTATGTAGATTCAGATTTTGCTGGTAATCCGGACAATAGGAAGTCCACAACTGCATATTTTTATGTTATAAATTATACATGCATTAGCTAGAAATCCCACCTTCAAAAACTTGTTGCATTGTCTTCATCGAGACTGAATACATTACTGCAACTGAAGTAGTTAAGGAGGGATTGTGTTGAAAGGTTTACTTAGTGAATTAGGATTTAGAGAAAATCAGGTGAAGCTGTGTTCTGACAACCAAAGTGCTATTTTTCTGAGTAAAAATCCTATTTTACATGATAGATCCAAGCATATAGATGTTAAGTTTCATTTTATTAGAGATATCATTGATAGCAATGATATTAGATTAGTCAAAATTTCTAATAAGGTAAATTCTACAGATGTCGGAACCAAGGTAATCCCTATTAGTAAGTTTGTTGATTCTTTAAGATTAATTAATCTTGAAGAAGACTGATTTTTATTCTTATTCTACAGGTAATAAGAGCAAATAAAATAAAGTGTTAAGTTGAATCCACATAGTAGCAGGCACAAAAGACAGCAAAAGTGGAGATTGTAAAATTGGGTTGCTGTTTTTGTGAAGCCCAAGTTGAAAGGCCCAACCCAAGACCCGGATTGATGACCCAATAAGTAGAAGAATCTGGAAAGGAGAAAAACCAATTAACAAAATGCGTTATTCAGTCTCAAATAACAACTTTATTGGATCTTCAACGTGTGGCAAGATAAGGGTCGTTGGATTGAATTTTTGAGCTTCTTTCATATAAAAACGAATAATATCTCTAGGGTTTGGGTCTTCTTCCATTTTTGTTATTCTAGCAGCTTCCTTCGAGTGATTTGATTTTCTCCCTGTAATTTTTGATTTCTCTCTTCAATCTTGTGTAGTAGTTGAGAGAAAGTGAGATTCATGAACTCTTGTGTGAGTTCTTGATGTTGAGAAGTGGCTGTGTGCCGTTGTTTTGAGTCGATGAACTGTGTGTTCTTTTGTAACTCGAAGTATTACTGTGTTTTTGGCCTGTGACTTAGTGGATTCGAGCTTATTCCTTTATGGATGATCAACGGGGATTAGGCGTTTGATGCGGTCACCGAACCTCGAGACTTCGGTCGAAAAATCTCGTGTTCTTTACTTTTTTTGTTCAGATCTACTTTATACTTGATTTTTTAGCGTTGAGACTTTTCTGGTTTTGTAATGTTCTTGAACCTATGTACTTTTATTTTTTCCTCCCTCCCTTAATTTCTACATTAATATAAATAGGTTTTTGGTGTGTAATTTCATCACTTCCTAATTATTGATGCTCATTGAAGAAGTAATAACTTCAATAAAATAAACAAATCAACACGAGAAGAACAATTGTGCATCCATATAACAATCGATCCACATATATAAAAGGACAAGATTGATGTCCTATCAAAGAATTGCGTACATTTCAAGATCAATATGCAATGAATTGTAGATCATCATCGCTAGATTGGCGCAAAAGGTTGTGATATTCACAATATAGGTGATTTATAGACACTCATCGCATTCTTAAAGCTTTTCATATAACAAAAAATGAAATATGTACCCAAGGTTCATCGACATTTAACTTACTCATTTTTCATACATTCTTTTCCATTTGTGCTACATGTACATTATAATTTTACATAATGATTTACATACACATAATGTAGTGAAATATAATTATGTCAAAATTTCTTCAACCAAATTGAAAATGAAAAATAAAAATTCCTTGCTCTACATGTAAACTATTATTTAACTGCTCATGTACAAGAATGAAATTAGGAAAAAAAATAATTACGAAATATATTATAGGATTTGTGCTTGGCCAAAACTTAAAGATCAAAAACCCATTAACGCGATCCATAAACCAATGATAACAACATAAAAAATTTCACCCAAAACCCGATATAATATCAACCTATCATGAGCGAAACTCATTCAGCTATTAGATTCTGTTTTACAAAAGGTATGAACAAATTAGACGTAACTCATTAAACAACGAAAACAACATGAATGAAAATCAGCTAATAAACCAGTTTGCCCATTGCTGAGGCTTTAAGCATCAAGAACACACTATATCAATAAATAACCACTAAGAAGGTGAAAGTTACATAAATATAGAGAAGACAGAGTAGTGTCACAGGATTAATGAAACCGAGATCAACAATCACCGAAGAATTCCTTGTGTAAACTTCAACTAATCAACTGCTGATTCCATATGTACCGCGAGTATCTTGTTTAATACTCACTATTAAACAATGGAAATTAGAGGTTGCAAATTATGATTCGGACATTGGCTACATAATTTCTGGTCCTCAGCTATTATTCATGAAAACTAAAACAGTCTGCAACCTCTAGATGATTCACAAGTCGGATAATAGAAGACTGTACAGCTTCAGACTTGGGAGACACGATACTGGGAAGTTCAGGTATGCAAACGGGCAAATATTGATGGCCACTTTCTCGCAAGCGAAAGAGAGTAAGAACAGCCCGGCAAAAAATAAATCTGGAGAGATTTCATTAAAGCATATAAACAATTGTTAGGTTAACCTATTACAAGAATATTTGCAATATAAAGACTGCTACCACTGTAATGACTAATATATTTTATAAGCATGAATATTACATTAGAAGGTCTTAAAAACCATCCCCCGAGAACTATATCTGGTACTTAAGAAGGCTACAAAATCCCTGCGTAGGCTTAAGGAGATAACAATAGAGCACTAAATTTCCAATTTTACATATAGCTAAATTTTATAACGTTGGAGTTTGGTTGAAGCCCCACAAGTTTCCAAGGTATAGCATTCAAGTCCACCCTTTCATCAAATAATTGATATCAGCAGTAAAGAGGACCAACATACAAAGCTATAGCAACAAGGTAAGCTTGCAATTGTTTAGATTCTCTAAAAAAAATTATCAACGTTAATCTGCAAAGCTTCGTGATAGCTTCAAATTATTAATGCTGAAGTCTTAGGAGCATTCATAGAATCTGGATATTAAATATTTGACACCATCAATGTTTAGACAATTTGTAGGAGCCAAAATGACAAGTCTAAATCCGAAGGAGTTTTGTTGATATTGCTTGTAAACTTTATAGACCGAAGTGGTAAATGGAGGGTTTTAATTTTATATTAAAAATTTGTGCAGCTTGAATGCACTTCACTACAATTCTAATTACTAAGACATAACAGGTCCTTTTCATTTTCAGTTCAACTCTAATTTCAGATTCACAGTTCACTGCTTGAAATGCGACATGATATTTTTCAGAACTCAAATGAGTTCGTTTTCAGTTATTGGTTTCTCAATCCTGTCTCCAAGTGATTTGGAAGAAGATGGGTTAAACAGAAGATGAGTACCTAAGAATAAGCCGCCGTAGAAATGGATCCGATAACAGTTGAGCCCAAACCAGATCCAGGGTAGTTGAAGTACAAAGGATCTTCTCCCACTCGGAGAAGGCAGCAGAGATAATACTCTCCAAATCATTGTACATGTCCTGAAAACAAATTCATTAACAAATAAGACAGGATCGAAACTCCTTTCCGAAAAGTTCAATTAAATACACAGTTCACTTACCAGGACATCGTTAGACAAGTTGAAACCAACCAGTTGGCAGAAAGCCTGTAAAGGAACGGTCAAGAAGAAAGTGAACTGACTTCCATTTTGTGCCATATCAGCGTCACTTGGATCCTTGAATGAAGGCCTTTGAGGAGAAAGAAACAAAGCAGCAGGTTCACCCCTTTCTGCTCCATGTAGAACCTGAAGAGCAGTCTACACATCAGCAACTCAGATAGAGAAGTTTTTACCCCTTTTGGACCAAAAGTCGAGAAAAATTCTGGTTCCACGTCAGGCAAGGGGACTCGTGGATTCGAGATTAAGGTTTGTTAGAGCTAAGTAAAATTAAACAAGACAATTAAAACCAACTCCTTAACTATTTTCTACCAAACATTAATCGAGCAAACATATGAGGCACAAATTCAAGTAGGAAGAATGTACCAAAGTACTGTCAACTTCAGTTTAGCAAGTGCTTCATGGGGTAGATTAAACAGAAAATGCCAATATAGGTTGGTATATATCCACCGCAAAGAGGGGTTGTGGGATCAAGAAAGTATTTTTGGTAATTGCCGAGTAAGATAATCACTAGGTCATCATATTTCATACAAGTTATGTTCTTGACAAACAGGATTTAACAAAAGCAAGAACAATGTGATGTAGAATAACATTGATTGTGCCGGAATCTTTTTCTCTCAGAGCTAAAGTCATTTTGCATTTCTTTTATTGTATTTTAAAAAGGTAGCTTGAAATTGGATGAATGATGAAAAGAGATTTACATATTTGACCCCAAATGTAATTGGATAAGGCTTAGCTTCTTGTAGCTGATTACACAATTAGTGCAGTTACTGCAGTAAAGCAGCAACATAGGCAGAAGCAATGACAAGAATTCAACTTTGACCAAATGAATACCATTTAGAGAAAACTTCAGGTGACATTAGTACTAAAACAATGGGGACATAAATTCCTTGATCTAGAAAAAGAGACAATAGATGCTTATTGCATGGCAACGAAATTATCACATTATTGCGTAACATATGGAGTTCTATAACTACCACCAGAGTATACAAATGTGCTCGAAGCCTAAAATGCTGGGAGAAGTTATTCTACAAAATTCTGAAAAACCTGCCTTGAATGCATGGCTGTTATCACTATCTATAATCATAAAAGTAGGTCTTCTGGTAAAAGGAATTATATCGCCAGGATAGAGGAAATTTGAACCTGAAAGACATACGTTTTATTGTAAGAATGAATAAGAAGACAATAACAAGACTATCATGGGAAAAACATTCTCAATAGTATGGAGAATCATAAAGGCTGAGTTTTATATTCCTACCTCCATTTTTGCTGGGACCTAACCACAAATAATTCTGAAAACACTGACTTGAGTCTCCATTCATAGTGACATGATTTTGACACAAACCATTGTTCTGCTCATGATGATTATAAGGAGCATTGGACCTGGCACACTTGCTTGATACACCAGAGCTTTTGATTTCTGAAGTATTATCCGTACCAGCGTCTCCTGCATTCAGATACGATTTCAGTTGTCTAAGATGATGTTAAGCATCTCTCCAGCCTGATTAATTATAAAGTTTAAGCCAAAAGAAACCTGGGGCTGACAAGTATATTAGCATAACACTATCAAGAGGAAGTCCCTCACAAACTGTGGCAATCACCTGTAAATACATGAACAACAGCGGGAAACCCAGACAGTAAATTCATATGAAACGCAAGCAAATAGACTTAATAATAAAATGATCAATATGCATTTAAACTCTCCGTGAAGCCCCTGATCCAAAGCATCAATTATAACATAAAACAGCAAACATCAATTGCAAGATTTCAGCGCTCACAGATATCAACTGTGTCGTTGACGGACGATAGAGAACAGCTTTTTTAGGATTTGATGGCAAAGTTGGATCTAACATATCTGCTGCCAAATTGATGTCTATCAGTCCCGAAACAACTGAATGATCGGACATATTACCATTCTCTCTTGATTCAACAGGATGCTTCTGATAGAAGGATCCACTAGGTTCCCATTCCAAACATTGTAGCATTCTGAAAGTGTCTAAAGTCAGTTCTGCAAATTTTACCTGAAATATTACATAGAGCAATCATTCAGAATAATTATCTTCTCATAGTAAGAATCAGCAATCTAAATACAAATATATACTACCTCAGTTTTGTGATAGCTTGTCAGCACAGCATCTTGGAATTTTAAAAGTCTCTTAGCATGGAATCTGGAAACATATGATAGTGAGGCTGGATAGGAATCAAACATGGCACAGTAACGCAGAGGCTTAATGTTCAAGATGGCTGTATCAGCTTTTGTAAATTGAACAATTTCTTGCACCACCAGCTTCCATTCTTTGAAGTTGGTTCCCTGGGAAATAAAATATACGGTTAACTGCTATAAGTTGGCTAATGTTCAAAATATAGATCCCGTAGAGGAGAAATTAAAATAACTTGGGATATGATAGAAACATTATATCAAGAGTATCTAGATTTTTCCAGGTAAGAAATGGTGTATATGGGAAAAATGCTTATATTTTGAAAAATGAAACCTTCATTTTGGTCTAAAAAGCACCTGAACCCGACAGGCCATTGTATATTGAAACATTTTAAGTTGTTTCCAATAATCTAACAGCTCAGCCACAAATTTCTAGTCATCACGCAGAACCAAACACATCGATGAACATACGATTTCTTTAAATAGATAAATTAGCTTAATTTTTTTATATTTTTATTTCGGCCATGACATAAAAAAAAAATATCAAAAAAATAATCAATTGTAATCAGGAATTCATTAGTCATTGACTACTTCAAATAAACACTATTGTTATATATTAGAGAGCAGAAATTGCTGCCAATGAACAAAATAAACAAACCACTTAAAATTCTTATTCACTTAGAAATAAGTGCGTAGTTTCCTTACTTTAAGTCACACTGCTTGTCAGAAAAGTTGTTTTAGGCTTATGCCTTCAATCTCCCCTCACCCGAGGCTTTCATTGGACGCAAGTTTGAGTGTATTTTGTCAAGGCTAATGCCTCAATTTGCTAGTATATGTTCCTCAACTTACTAATCTTACACCTCAATGATAAGTGATGGGTAATGGAAACTATTCTAAGACGATTACTAGATTATTTTCAAATTAAAGATAGATTAGATTTTAGTAGTTTGATTAACTAGATTTTAGTTACTTTGTGTAGTTGTTATATGTTAAAAGTTATTTTAGTTTCAAGATATTTTCCATTATAAAAGGGAACCTATGTTTTTCAAGTTCACTTTCACAATATTATTTCACGTCCTTAATTCTTAATTCTTCCCTAGAAGTTCTTCTTCTCTCTAATCCTCTCTCTCTATTTTCGTCCTATGTTCTGCATCACTGAGTTTCCTTTCTTTATGACATTCCTGAACAATTTCCTAGATAACAAACCTAAAGGCTTTCTACTGATATCAATAATGATGATGGTGCAGATATTGATTCTAGACACAAATCGATATTGACCTTAATACGGAACTGGAAATGATAAATATTAGGAATGGGCTAAGTGTGGATATCATGCTAGAAATAGGCCGATATTATATTACCTTCAATTTGAATTAGCGAAGGTGATGTTTCCTTGCATAATGTGGATTCCAAACATTTATGATTGAATGTCAATCAAAGAGTAGGCGAGGTGTGCGCTCATTTGTCTTGCATATTCTAGTTATTTTATTAATGGTTTCAAATTCTTGGGCTATTTTTTCATAATCTAGAATGTTTTACAGATTTTTTTTTTTTTTTAAATTTTATCTTACTGCTTTTAAAAAGAAAAGGAAGTGACTTGGCAAAACCATTGTAAATGGGGAAAGATAACAAAGAATTATATTACTAAATTACTGATTCAAGATCTTAACATTAGCTACTTGATTGATCTACTCCATGTTTGTATGTAAATTAGACTTCTAATTTGGTTAATCTATTTTATAAGGCATTTGATGAGGACATCCCAGTTTTATTACTTTAGTTGGACGACATTTAATTATTTTAGTTGGACTTTTATTTCTTAGTTGGACTTGGGTTATTTTATTTTTATGGACTTGTGTAATAAGTTTGGCCCTATTAGGGCTGTAAGCAAAAACCGCAAAATCGGAAAACCGAACCGAAATCGCATTTTAGAAACCGTCGATTTGGTGCCACGCGGACCCGGTCAACGAAATGGTTTTGAACCAAACCAAACCGGTCAAAATGGTTTGGTTTAGGTTTGAGAATTTTAATTTCGGTTTAAAACCAAACCGGACCGGCGAAAAAATATATAAAAATTAAAAAATTAAAAAATTAAAAAATAATTTTTTTTGAAATTTTAAGACTTTAAGTGGGCTATAAGACCATAAATAATACATAAAGTCATAAACCCGACCCGACCCAATCTGACGGATTAAAGAAAAAAAAAAGAGGAAAGATAAAGTCATAAAACCCAAACAGGCAAAAGTTACAAAGCCCTAAAAGTCTAGAATAAAATTTCCAAGTTTCTCCGTCTCTCACTCTCTGACTCTCTCCGCCGAGTCGCCGACGCCGCTGACTCTCTTCTTGGAATTTTGCAGATTATTTTTGCTGATTTGATTTGATCCATACTGGCTCATCTTGATTTTCCTTTTCTCTTGGGGTTTCAAAGGTAATTTTTCTTACTGTTGTTGCTTATAATCGTATTTCCTTTAGATTACACGTTTTTAGAGATAATTTGTTAGCTAAACATAGAAATTATGTTGAATCCTCATCTTCTGTTGATTGCCTGTTTTTCTGTGGAAATGTTATTAATTCAATTTTTTGTTTTGGGTGAGATTCAAAATGGGTATTAATTCGTTTTCTGTTATTATTTCATTTTCTACGAGTATCAAACCATGTGATCTGTCATATTCTATGTTAATGTCACCGACTCACCAAACTTGGAAGATATCTGATATATTTGTGTAAAATCATGCTTTAATCTATTGGGTTGTTATGTTGATCTTTCACTCGAATTGGTTTGTGGTGAATGGTTTAATTTCAACACAACCTCGATCTAAGATTCTGTCAGCCTTATCTCCATTATCTTCTTGTGCAGGGTCTTCCTTGTTTAACTGTTTTTGGGTGATTGAAATTCTGAAATTCATCTATTAATGATTAATCTTGCCATCCATGTTTAACTGTTCAAGCCTTCAAGGAATCTAACAGCAAGTGAAGTGAGCAATTGTTCTAAGGTGAGCAATTTTTGAGTACTTTTAATCTTTTATTATAAGGTGTGAACTGTGATTGGGTCATCAATTTTGGAACATTGTCACATTGTCATTTGATTTCATTTTCTTTGTTTTATTTTTTGATTTTAAGTTAATAAATTTAGTTCTTCAACATGAAAATTAGAACTTTCTTGTGCGGCCATGACAACGTGTTTGCCTTTGTCAATTGTGTCTGGAAGTAAAATTAAATGTATGGATGTTGTATTGATTATGAGTATTATTTATAGTAGTTATATAGACAGATGGATAGAGTTAGAAGAGGATTAAAATTCTAATAGATTTAGGTACTTTCACTATCTCCACGTGTCTGTCATTCATCCTTTCTCAATTTTGTGCATAACTTGTTTACTAGTTTACTCGTTAAAAGAGGATTAAAATTCTAACTTAAAAAAATTTGGAAACTACTTTTTGCTCAGGAGAATGTTCTATTTCACTAGTATACATTTAAATGCAACCTCCTGCTCACAAAAAATAATTACTACTCTAGCGGGCTTCCAAGTTCACAAGTTGATATCCACTTGGTAATCAAGTATTCTTTCAGAAAAAATTAAACACTGATTAATTCAATTTCTTAGCTATTTATATCCATATACATGCATAGACAATATAATGTTTTTTTAAATCACACATATGCGCCTCCGATTTTTAGTTTGTTTTACTTCAATTTTGTTTCTTATGGATGATCCAGGAATTCAACTACGCCAGCTATATACTGCGTATCTTGGTTTATTGTTGTTCAGGGGGAAGATTTAGCCCCTGTTGACATATTGGCATATCTATATTTTAATCTGCTATTGTTAGAATCACAAATATGGATCATGTTGACCTTTCTGAAGAAGAAAATTATCTTGAGCCAAATGTAGCTGTTGATAGTGTAGAAGTTGATCAATACCCAGATTCCACTAAGGGTAAAAAGGGAGTTAAAAGATCTGATGTTTGGGATCATTTTAAACTGCATGATGAAAAGGCAGAGTGTATTTACTGTGGGCAACTTTACAAGTATGGCAACAAAAATGCAGGGACTAGTACATTGCGAAACCATATCGAGTGCTTATATAAGAAATATCCATATAGGGTTCCAGAGAAAAAACAAAAGACTATGAGTTATTACACTAAATCTAAAAATGATGTTTTAGAAGGCATTACTAGTTCTGGACAAGTTGTTAAGTTCACTCAAAAAGGGACTAGAGAAATGATTGCTAAGTACTTCTTATTGGCAGAGTTATCATTTAGACATGTACAAGATGAAGGTTTTCGATTATATACAAAGTATTTTTTTCCAACATTTGAATTTCCTTCAAGAGTTACAGTGGCAAAAGATATATATCAATTGTACCTTGATGAAAAGAAGAAACTGAAGAAAGAATTGAGTAGACATAGGGTTTGTTTAACTACTGATTGTTGGACATCCATCGAAAATATTAGTTACATGTGTTTGACTGCTCATTGGGTTGATGATGATTGGATCCTTCAAAAACATATTATAAGCTTCATTCAAGTCCCCAGTCATAAGGGTAATATGGTGGCTAAGGAGTTAATTTCTTGTTTTCATGATTGGGGAATTAAAAAGATTTTTTGTGTGACTGTCGATAACGCCTCATCTAATGATGTTGCAATATCGAAATTGAAAGAGAGTTTTCAGGAGACTAAACATGGTCTAATTCTTGATGGAGAAATGCTTCATATGAGGTGTTGTCTCATATTCTCAATCTCATTGTTTGTGATGGTCTAAAAGAAATTAGTAGTTCTATTTCATCAATTCGCAATGCTGTAAGGTTTACTAGGTCTTCCCCGGCACGATTGAAAAGGTTCAGGGAGAGTTGCAAGGAGGTTAACATCGAATCTCGAGCTTTGTTGTGTTTAGATGTGACTACTAGATGGAATTCTACCTACTTGATGTTAGACACTGCAATGAAATTTAGAAAAGCATTTGGTGCTTTAGAAAGTGATGCAAATTACACAAAGTACTTTGATGAAGAGAGAAGAAGCGATGAAAGAAGTGGTTCACCCACTCCATTCGATTGGGATCAAGCACAAATTTTTGTGAAGTTTCTTAAAACATTCTATGATATGACATTGAAAGTTAGTGGCTCTTTATATGTAACATCTAACACTTTTTTTCAA